GTTTTTAGTTAGGGCATAGTTAACTTTATGATTGGGCCGCAACAGGGACAATAGGCCGCAATACGAACAATGGGCCGCTAAATGAGCTAAGACCGAAGTGAAGAATCGGAATAAGATATTAAATATAAGCAGTTTGAGGTTTAAGGTTATATAAAAGCTTAGCTTAGCTTGACTTAGGCCAGTTCAAGTTAACTTATCAATAACTAAGCCCGATATCAGGAATATGGTTTTGGAAATTTCCAACTTTTGATATTCTGCATAAGATATTCCAGCCGTTTTTAATCTTGTTAAAAAATATCACTTCCAAAAATGTGTAATAATCCCCAACAACTGAGTCGCTGGATGTGTTACACACCAACTGACTCAATTGACAAAATGGGTAAGATTTAAGGTTAAAATTACATTGGCAGTAAAAAGTTGTCGACAAACACGTTTGACGAACATAGAGATTGCGAATTGAGTTTCGGCGCATTTTTCGAGAGAAAATAAGAAGCAATAATCTTAGCTACTGTTTGTATAGATCCCTTTATTACTAACAAGATTGACGCATGGCCAGACAAATGCAGCAATCAATCCTTGCTGCTGGCAAGGATGCAGTCGTACATATCGTACATGTGTGTATGTGTCTGCACCAGAAAAAAAGAATAGACAATCGGATAATGCCAATGCATCAGTGCAAATATATACAAGTCTTACTGGTTGATACAATAGCATTTATTTTGAAAGGAAAGGGTTAAATAGCCAAATTGTCGACGTCGCCGATCTTTGATGTAGACCCTGCCGATGCATTTGGCATTTTGTTTTGCCTGCTTTTCGCACAGCGAATTTCTTGAAAGTTCTTTCATTTGAAGTAATGCAGAGTTTGATTTGTTTTGATCTAAACCGCAAAATCTGCCAGAGCATTTTATCTTAGAGAAGCCCCGAGCCTTGCCTGCCTCTGACAAAATCCATAGTGAAGGATCAAAATTGCAAAAGGCTTGAAAATAACTTAGACGCTAATGGGACGCGACTTGAACTTGTACCTATACAACTTTGATAAACATACTAATTAGTTGCAAACACTAGCTTTAGGGTGAATTTTCCGAAATTGCCGAAACATGAAGTCATTCATTTTCAATGTAGATCTCTGAAAATATATTTAAAGCTGACCGTCTTATAACTTCTCCAATAAAGCCTAAGACCCACATATTCTACATGTAAAAATCAGTTTGCAGGATGGTAAAGAAGAAAAATTGCATGCAACTGCTTTCCGCCATTTTTCCACATTTGCGGGTGGAATTTCTATAATCATATTTCTGAAGTTCATATGCGCCCAATCCACTTTATCACTCCATGGGAAGAGAATTTTAAGGATTTCCCGAAAAGTATGAAAAACGATTAAGATACTATTTCATAAAAATCAAAAAATTTGGGACAATCAGTCAGGAGAAACTGTTTTCTAACTATATAGTATATATAAAAATCTAGCATTTCTGGTACATATAAAAACTTTTACAGAACACCAAAAAGTATTAAACAAATTCCAGCAAATCCCTTGTTCGCATGTGTGTGGCCCCGAGGTTATATCAAATTGATATGGAACTAGGAGTAAGTCAGTACAATGGAAAGCTATCACTGCTACCGCATCGCATTCAGCAGCCGCACAATTTCCATTGTATTGGTGATTAATTTCTAGCCTCCGGGTAGCCAGCCGTCTGGCTGCTCCGGGTAAGGCATGTTTAGACCGCCACAGAACTACAGCTTGAATGCTTTGTAAACAAGTTGACAGACAGACAGCCAAGCGGGCTGTATTGACGTTTGATGAGCGGATTATCGGCGTGCGCTTCATTGCGCTCATACCTCCTGTCTTATAGCCAGGTCAACAAGTGTTGCACGTTTCTCACCATGTTGCTGCGCCATTTACTGGATGCCACAGGACGCTTCACGGCTGCACTACTGCCGCTTTGCAAATGGTTGCAATTGCGCAATACAAACTATTATATAAGAACTTAATCGTAACGTAAGCCGACGATCTCATTATATTTGTCTCAAATATAAAGATATGCAATTTTTATACCCTGTTCCCATTGAATATGCTATTTCAGTATATCATCTTTATATTCCCATTCTCATAAAATCTTTCCCAAGATCTTTCTCGGCGATTAAAAGACCAATAACGTAATAATGTATGTACTTACCTGTAAATTCTCATGCAGGATTATTTAATCGTCATCTATCAGTAGGCGCAAAACGAACTTTTATATAAACACATAACTGAAAGAACAGAAAAGCAGAGATAATGTGTATAAGTTTAAAAACGCAACATGCGTACATATGACTGTTATAGTAGTTACTTTTTTTAAAATAGAATAAGATATAGTTATGTTTATAATACGTACCACTTTTATTGCCACTGCCTCGCCCATATTTGAGTCGGCCTCCTTCGATATTTAAGCCGCCGTCTCCTCTTTTGCTCAAGCTGCTGCTTCCTCCATATTTGAAGTTGCTAACTCTTTTACTTAGGTGCCGTCTCCTGCTATATTTAAGCAACCGCCCTCTCTATTGCTGAGCTGGCCGCCTCCTCCATAGTTGAAGCCCACCGTTTCCTCCTTTGCTCAAACTGCCGTATTCTCCATTGTTTAAGCTGCGGTCTCCTCCTACTCTATAGTTAAAGCTACCTCCTCCTCCTTCATTAAGATTTTATGTTGCGGTTTGAAAATAAGTTTAAGTCCAATCGCACGAAACTCTGAACATGCCCCAAAAATCTTTGAATCACCATTTCCACCAAGCATAAATTGAAAAGCTTTTATATCAACATTAGCAATACAAATAAATGCAGGGTCAATCATAGTTATATATTTGGGTTTTTTTGCAAACATTGCCATGATTGTGTAAGTCCCAAAGTCAGAATCAGGATCGAAAACGTGCATTGTCTATGTAAATCCCACTGCAAGCTGCAGAATTCGAATGGAAAATGTTGCCACATGGGCCACGTGCGATAGGGTACCTCTCAACAGCAGCTCCTAGATTTACAGTGTATATTCAGAGTGTGTGTGTAGGTAAGCGTATAACGAGCTTCTGTTTTTGCATTTTAATTTCCGGCCTCGGCCATACGTCTGCGTGCCTGTTATGGAATGCAGTGCATTGCCGGATTTGACGGCATTGTTTGTGTGTACTCAAATCGGTTGCCAGACTTCTGTTTGTGGCACAATTATTTAAATGAGATTACGAAGACTTACAGAACGGAAATGCCCGATTAGCATTATCTCTGTAGCTGGGCCAGCCTTGGGCTGATGCTACTGCTCTTTTCATTGCAACCTGCTCATTTTACGGATTATTTTCTTGCTCCAGTGTCAAACATTGGCGAGCCAATTTGTTTCCTTTGGTATTTCTCTTAATTTTAATTGTTTTGTTCGTTTCTACGGCAAACTGTTCGTCGCTTTCATTGTTGACTGAACGACTATACGTCGCCCACAACAATTGATGCACAATTTGTTGCAGATAATCTACATTTTCATTTGACTGCTAAGCAATTTACAGCTTAGTTTTTAGATAAATTTACATACATATACATAAAGTACTAGTCTAGCATACTTGAGTCCATTGTAAAGCTCATGGTTATGCAAATGGAAACATTTCTATGGCACATATATGATACGGTGTCTCGATCCGGTCAGTTTCAGATAATTCAATCAAATCACTTAAAGACTAGTTTGCATGGAAACAGACGGACAAATAGACAGACGGACTCTGCAAGGGTATAAAAAATACCACACCCAACAGATTCATTATGCTTATGTAGAATTTATATTTGTATGCTCATTCGAAAATTGAAAAACCATAAATTGTTACTCTCCGCTATCAGAAACGTTAAACATTAAAGTCTAGTACACTTGAAATTTTGGAGCTAAAATGACTAAGCGTGGATAGAAGACTACTTATGAACTTTTCTACGAATCGATTCAAAATAAATGCAGTACGTTTCCAATCTAATAAACTGAATGTCGGACCACTACTAGAAAAATTACAACAGAATAGGATTAAAATGTGCGCACTCTAGTTGACTGTGTGCGTGTGTTGTAGCTCTAGGAATTTTACAACAACGTCCTATGAATCACAGGTTATAGGCTCCGACATACGAACTATCATGTGTTTAGCTGCCTAGCCTTTGGCAGGAAAAAGGGCAAATATCCTAATGTGCAATTCAATTAATATTTTCATAGTAGTTTAAAGGTTTGAAAACCTTTTGTTGTTGTCAAAATAATTTTGATAGAAACTAGAATTTGTTGGCATAAAATATAATTGGGCAGCTGTATTTATTTTGCACTTAACTATTGAGGCAGTTAAACACATTATACTGCGTATGTGAATTGAGAATTTGTACTAGATATATTTAAATGTATTTCAGCAGGCCATTCGCATCATTTGCGTCTCGATTCTTTCCAATATTCTATTTAGTTTGCCTACAATGTCCGTCATTGCATTTATTATCGCAGCCGCTTTTTTTTACCCTCTCCTGTACCTCAGGGCACTTTTTCCTCGGTTCCTCTATGAAATAAATTATTTTTTTGGGCACAGAGTCGGCGCTCATTAGAATACGTACTCTTAAAGCAGCCTTTGAAGAACCGTCCATCGTCAGTACATCTTTCTTTATAAGTGTCATCCTGCTTCTTGCTCATCTCGCGACACTGTACGATATGTCTGGGATTGCTGGCGCGGCACTTTATGGTGGAGGCCATGCGAGACATGGCACCAGTCACGCGGTTTAGGAAACGTGCAGTCATATTGGAATTTAACGAAAATCACAGAAGCAGCTGACCCGCCGAGCTATATGTATATATTAAGGTGTTATCGAAGCAAAAGATCTGAACAAACTGATGTTTTTTAATTTGAATGCTGTAGAGCTTAGCTTTTGATGAAGGCGTTTTCATCGCATACTCAGCACTCGCATTAAAACGTATGTTTAACTGGAAGAGAGTTGAAAAATATCCATATCAGTTTCGAGCTAAAAAAGCAATGTGAGCTTCATTTGTTTCCAAATTTGTTTGTCCTATTCACAAAGATAGTTTATTTTCCCATAATTTTAGAGCTAGTTCCTTTAAGCTTGACTCATTTTTCAATTTTAGAATCCCTGACTAAGAATAAGTAGCTGTTTGTTATGTATCGAGCAATCAAGGTCATGACAGAGACAGTCATTATTCTGGACTTGCATTTAGCAATCTTGTGAGTTCCATAACGATAAAATAAAAATTATAATGCATTAAACAAGAACTTAGCAGTGCCGAAAGATTTGAAGTGGCAACAATGAAAAGGCCATTAATCAAGGCTTAACAAATTAAACTAAGTGGAAAATTTTAATTTGATATTACGCTTGAACCCGTACCCGTAGCCGGGCCGAGCCGAGCCGAGCCGGGCTTGTAGTGGAAACAACAACTACCCCTGACCACTTTACGCATAATAGGGGCGCCTTTTCCCGGGGGTTGACACTCATATGCCAATGATAGCTGAAAAATGCCAAACTATTAAAACGCCTTTTGGATGCAATTTTACGCCATGACATGGACACACACGGAGGGTGAGGCCACTTTTTGGGTCGCTTTTCCACAATTTTCTGCCGCAATTCGCTGGGATTTCCTCACATACGAGCATATGTATTTCTGGCGTTGAAAAATGGGCTTGGCCGTCGTCCCTTTGATTATAGTTTAGGTGTCAATTAGCAACGGTGCGGTTGGCTGCCTTTCAATGATACGAAATCAATGCATTACCAGAAAGAGCCCATAATCCAGGATATGATTAGACAATATTTGTTAAGCCAATGCAATTATTGGCAACGGGCCATTATCAAAACAGGACACATATAGCTTTAGCTTTTGCATGAAAAGCGTCAACGATCTGCTTGCAGAGTGTGTTGCACGGAGATCGGGATGCGCAGGACATCACACACTTGACGAATCCCTGCACATATGTATGTGTATAAATCTGTCCCTCTGCACAATACGAAAGAACGTATTTTTATGATGCCGAACTAATTTGGGGGTTGTTCCTTGTTTTTTTTCTTTTTGTGTGTTTGTCTCTCTTGCACTCAAAAGATCTTCTGTGTTTTGGTGTCATTTGCTACACGTGCTTAAATTCATTTAATTTATTTAATACTTGAAAATACATTTATTGTTTGCTTGCGAAAGAGACTCACCCTCTGTCTCTTTTCCCCGCCATGCGAGATAATCGCCAACCCTGGGCATGTCATTGAGGGAACTGCTCAAACTACAGGATTGGGTGTGACTGCAAATGAATTCTTATTTTGCGTTCGATACGCTGCGTAACGAGTAGGCCCAGTTGTCGCCTCGTGGGGATTTCCGATTCATTTGCTGATGCCGCTGCGTCTTTGCGTTCCTTACCCGGGCATATTAATCTAATGGCCCGGGGCGGTAGAAGCAGAAGTGGTATGGCAACCAACTACAAACTTATATGCATGTATATATGCCATATATATACTATATGGCATGTCTACTTATATGTATATGGTCACAGGCCATAATTAAGCACTAGCTGCTTTGGACACCTTCTGCTATAAGCGAGCTAGCGGTCATCGTGGCGCTGCCTGATTGGCTGACACATGTCCTTAGAGGACGCTTTTAGTGCGGTTTCTATGGCTATTTTCCGCCAGGTGATGCACAGGCATAATTAATACCATTCCAAGGCAACAAAACTCAACCACACGCGTGTCCGGCTGTGGCTACTTCGCTCCGGACGACAACTGTGATTGCGGTGTCCACACGTAACATCTACCATGCACATGCATACCTGTATACATGTGTGTGTGTGTCTTGTGTGCGTGTGTGCTTGTACTTGTATCGGAGTGCTCCGAATGGCAAGGGTGTTAGTCTAAGCGGATTAATGTACGCCTGAATGTGCGGAGTACAATGCTTGTGTGTTCGGTAATCGGAAAATGTGCACATAGCTAAATTCATAGTCTAGTTATAAAGGCGGATATGGACATGTGTCCGACAGGGAGAATCTAATGCAACATCTTCGACAAAGCACAGCAATAAGAGCTTTCTACTCCTCCCAGGGCCTAAGACTTAGGAGTATCTAATACGTGACCCCACAGCGAAGTGTGAAAAGGCCGAATAGCAATTTAGCGTTTAGTCAAAGTTTATCAACGAAAAATGAGTGGCCTGGGTCCGGCAGCCTGTTGGCTGGCGCACAAGCGCATTGAGTCTTGGTCTCGCATAGCCAAGGAGCGCGTTGGTGCCGTTCGTCGCGTTACGCTCGACCGCAACTCGGCCGACGAGAGCAGCGGCAGTGGCGGCAGCAATGGCTGCACCCAAGTATTGCCGGGAAGTGAGGGCGCATCCTCCACGACGCCGCCGCCGCAGCCGATGACGCCGCCGCCATCGGCCTCATCGGTAACCTCAACCACCAGCGGCATAGGAAGTGTTTCGGCTGGTAGTGTCAGCGATAGCTGTGACTTGCCTACGGACTCAGAGGTGCTTTGCCAAAAATCGCACGCATCAAGTACAATCATTAATGCTCCTTAAACCTTGTTATTGCAGGAAGTCAATATTTCGAAGGAGTCACATCCCATACAACCAGCCACACAACTCCATGGAATTCCTTGCGTACCCAACCATCCGATTCAAGCCGATATACTTCGTGGTCCCGCCGAGGTTTTCCACAGCCCGTTGCACTTGCACCACCAGAGTCGATCCTTTCCGCCGCGTCTGCAGCGCACACCTTCAATTTCCAGCCAGAGCAGCGTAGACAGCGCTCCGTCCAGGCAGTCGGTGAGTTTAGCATCCGGATCTCGGTTATCCTTTACAATTATGATATTGACGAGCTATATATACAGGGTCATCGCGGCTCCTCTCCCCAAATAAGGACTTTCGGACCTGATGGACGTAGTTCATTACCTAGCGAGGCAGCATTCCCACATCATCTGGCCCGTTCGCCCAGTCCCATGCGGACTATTTCGCTTGACGCACGCTGTGGCAGCCCGGCTTCGGTCGATGCGAGTGTCTTGCGGACCCCAAGTCCCTCCCAGTGTAGCCTGGCCTCTCTATCAGGCCCAGGCATGGTTGGATCTGCGCCCAACATGATTATGAGCACAGGTGCCGGATCTGTTCACTGCAAGGGAGTGGGCGTAGGCATGACAGGCAATCGTTGCCTATCGCCTTTGCTGATACCTCCTCGTCCTCAGCCAGGCATTGATCCAACTGTGGGTCCTGCTTCGCCTCTTGGTGCTCTGCAACCGGACTTATATCGCATGCCCGATGGGCCGGTCTATCTGACAGCACCCGGGACGAGCCACGCTGTGGGTCGTTTGCACTTGCGTGTCAAATATGATTACCACCTTTTCGATTTAACGGTTCATCTCATTGAAGGTATGTATTCCCACAAGATACCGAAGGATTTTAGCTCAACTCTGGCGCTCCATTACAGCACACAATCTGAGCCCCATCGAGGAGGGTGGCTTTCGGGATCCTTACGTGCGTCTCATGCTTCAGCCGGGCGTGGACAACCGCAAACGTCAAACGCACATACACCGCGGCGAATCGAATCCCTACTTTGATCAGCATTTCAAGTTCCCGGTTTCACGTGACCAGCTGCAGGGCAAGGAACTGGTCTTGCAGGTGCTCGACTATGATAGGTACTCGCACAACGACATTATTGGCGAAGTGCGTATTTCGGTTGATGGCCTGGATCTGTCAAAATCTGTTGAAGTGAGCGTTGTCTTTGACGATTCCAAAACTCACTGAATCCTATTGAAAGTAACTCTTCTTAGATATGGGGCGATTTGCTGCGAACTAAGAAGCCCAAGGAGGATCGCCCGGAGCTGCTGTGCTCTCTGAACTATCTACCACAGGCGGAGCGCCTGACAATTGTAATAATGAAGGCCCGAAATTTGGATACCGTCCAAGAGCCCTATGTCAAGGTATGAATATTATATGTGTTACTGATTGATTTTATTTCGAAAACATAATGCAATCACAGATTTACCTAATACAAAACGGCAAGCGCATAAAAAAGAAAAAGACTAGCATCACTAAATCCGACGATGTTAGCAATCCCATCTGGAACGAGGCATTTACATTCAATCTACAATCAAATTATTTACACAGTGCCGCCATTGAGGTGAGTAGCCAGCCGATAATAATTCATTTGGCCAAATTACCAATTAAATGTGGATTTAATATATGCAGATATATGTGGTCGGTGCGGGCAGCGAGGCAACGGAAATTGGCTGCTGCGGACTTGGCCCACAGGAGAGTGGAACGGGCTGCCAACATTGGCACGACATGATTAACAATGCCCGCAAGCCCACAGCCATGTGGCACTATATACGCTAAGCGAGCGGGCAGCTCCACATAAATTTGCTTCAGTATGAAAATAAAATCACATTCAATTATTGAAGCTGTTTTCAAGCTGCTTTTAAAGTACAAATTCCACTTATTACGCAGCCTGTCTGCGTTTTTTGACTAAATTTGACTAAAACAAAAGCTGGAAAATAACCTTTTGTGAATTGAAATGTGACACGACACGCTAGTACATATAATTTTATAGATTAGTTTTTCCTAATGGTGTCCAAATGTAACAAGAAGCATACCAAGCGAACCTTGTTATGTTCAATACCGAGTACTATTCAGATATATATATATACATCTATATTAATATGCTAATAACTTGAGAAATGCACAAGCTCAATCAAAAGTTCCTATGATACACACGAAACGAGCAACCGACCCAAATACGATCCATGTTCAGCTTCAGCACTTAGGATCTAAGAAAAAGGTCGCGAATCAAAGAAAAGAACCCGAGCCGAGTGGAAGAATGTAGCGTAACTGTCAACCGAGTTGTTGACATTTCAGTCGGCTTTGACGAAGAGTATTCAAGTGTGCATTTCTTTAATAATTATGAATATAAAACATTTCAACAGCATTTCATAAGCTAAATGCTCGTCAATCATATAGCACAAGAACTACCCTCACTGCGCTACGAAATTTGCTTAGACCACAGCCGGACGACGGAGCTGGGTCTCTTTGTATTGGCGACAGTTGACAAATTGGTCCTGTTGTCCTTTTTAAAGCCTCAGTTGCATAGAGTGTATGCATGTGTGTGCGTATGTGCGTCTTCGAGTGACTCTCAATAGCTGACAGCTTATAGTGCGTGTGGCAAAAGTATTTGCAATAAATTAAATGCCAATAACTATGGCTAATTGTTTATTTAATTAAATGTTCCTTCCATTGCTAATACGTGTACGTCTACAAGCTGAAGCCAGCGAAACGTTTGCAAAGCATAATGAATAGAATACAACGATAATAACATAAATTCTTAACTATTTGTCCATGTTAACCACATACATGCAACCTACAGATATATATATATATATGCATATATGTATGTGTATTGTGTGGTATAAGAAGATATATGAACTGTTTTCTATTTTCTTCAACAATATTATCAATCTATTTTTGATGTTGTATTAAATATGAGGGCCATAGTTGCGCCCAAGCATACTGTAAAATATTATATATATATACATATATATAAGAAATAAATGAATATAAATACACTATATATACACCTATATATACAAAACGCAACGCCACGATCCCACTTATTATCTTATTGCAACTGCTATTGAAAACCTTAAGTAATTTATATTTTAAAGTCTTAGGGGAAATCTAGCATATGTTATTTAGACACAAGTTAATTTGTGTGCACATATATATACATATGCATTATCGTAATCTAATACTTTTCTAAAGTCATTTTGAATATATATTTGTAATTATGAATTAAATATTTTCTGTTTTCAATTTCCATATGTAAAATATGATGTATGTACATATGTGCAAATATAATAATATATATTAGCTCAATGCCGTTTATATATGATCAAGTTAATCAAAACAAAACACAAATTATAAATATAATATTTACAAAGAAGAACTCACAAACAAAAATTCCATAACGCTGAAATACCTCCGATTTACCTAAACTTTTGTAAAACTGTTTTAGCCCAAACATAAATTGATGTATGTCAGTGTATGAAGTTGCATGTTCCAAGTGCGTATATTGAAATATGCATTATATATATTGATTGTTATTTAAAGATACTAAAGATATGCCTAAATCAACGAAAGTTTAATGAAAGTAATGAAAACACTATCAACCTATGGATAAAAACCCAATCTCTACCCGACATATTTAAACATATTTACCTATTCACTTCGTGATGTGTATAATATTATATGTGAAAAAAATATAGAAATTATTGAGTGAATAAATACACACAAAAAAAAGGAAAAGCCGTATTTTAAGTGTTATTTTTATTCTTAAAATGATAATTATTTATTTGCTTATTCAGAATTCATCGTTACGAGAAACCAAAAAAGTAATCCTCTGCGAAATGCTTGTGCACAGCCGAAAAGCAAAAACCTGCTACCGAGCAATTTTATTAAAAGATTATGAAAATTCAGACAAATATTATGTAAATCGTTTACTAGGAGAGCTCATAGGTAGTATTCATTTCAAATTTTGTCAATATAGCTCGAAAATTGTGGTCAGTATGTAGGTAACCATATCACATTAACACCTGATCCGAGCCCCAAAGCAATTGTTTATGTTTCGGCTTACGGTTTGAACCAACTTCTTGAATTTGAATGTAATTCATGTAAATATATTATAATACATATAAATGCAATATAATTGTTTACATATATATTTTACGTATCTCCTGAATTTTTCACAACCAAATGAACTGCTTGCTGATTAAAATGCGAGCACTGCTTGCAAAACAATCATCAAAACTGTAAGTGGCTGCACAGTGATTGTAAAACTGTGCGGTATGCAAAACAGAAGGCCGTCGATGTGCATGTTTGTTAATTTATATAAATTCTCACATTTATTCCCACAGTATGACCCCAATGTTATTATTAGTATACAAATATTATAATATACACGTATTATAATACAATTATATACCCAAGCTGCACAACATTCTGAACAAATTTGAATACGCCCCTCTGAGGTTGTAAAACAAATTGGCAACTCTGTTTGTCGAAAGCAACTGGCGCGCGCATGCGAATTCGCGTCCGTTAAATGTTTTGCAAGCGCAGTCGCAATGCCGCCGCCGTGAATGGATCAACGCGAACGCGCATATTTGAGACGCAACTGATGCCACATTTTGATTTGGCGTGAAGAGAATTAGAATATAAGTAGTACGCTCTTGAGCGCCGCGGCGTGTAACCCTTTGGCGAATTGTTAAGAAATGTCATCGAGCACAGTAAAAGCTATTGATGAGAAAGCAAATTGATTATATTGTGATAGATGCGTATCATGCTTGTGCATGTACCGCTCTCCGTTGCCGCAACAAAAACTGAGGCTGTGCCCGTGCTGTGGTTTTGTTGTTCTTTCAGCGAACGGCGCGGCGCGTAGGCGGCCAAAGTGGCAGTTATGGCCATAAATACAAATATGTACGTACCCGCCAGCAGGTATTGAATAAAAAATGCTATTGAATGTCATTTATAAATATGTTCAGAAACTGTGGCAAATAGATGTGCAATACACGGGCGCTCAAGTTCTGGCCAGCGCCAGCCTCAACCTACGACTGCAAAGCCGCTGATTACCGATGGTGATGTAAGCACGTCTGCCGTCTGATTTCGAGAATGTAAATAGTAGCCGAGTTTATAGCCAACAGACCAATGACAGCATATTTTGTAAACTTGCCCACCCACTATCCACATTCAACTTCTCTACTTTATTCAGTTAAGTGCATGCGCATACACTCGGATGTGCATCATACTCTTTGCCACTGGAGTACGGCTATAAAGTGTATCCAGACAAAGCAGACAATGTGCATACACATACTTAGTACAACAAATAATCCCTATATATAGGAATCAACTCCTAAAAAGGTTTTCTTTTGCATGAAGTTGAATTTGTGCGTAACAAATTGCCCAAAAGCCTATAATCCACGGAATTATATATAAAAGACAATAAGAGAAAGCAAGACCATTGTCGAAAATGACCGACTCGTAGATACCCTGTACTTAACGACTAAACGACAAGCGCTCGAACAAGCAAGCAGTGCACCTTACGCAGCGGCAGCGCTTCTTCTTCCCCTTGGCCGAAATGGGAAATTCGTCCTTAAACAACTTAAATATCTGTAATCCGATCTTTATGAAGTGTGTACCGTTAAAATATGGTATATATGCAGACAATCTTTTAGTTCGGTCAATACAAACTCCTTTAAATATCTACAAGCTAGTTTGTACGGCATTATCCAAGTTTCTTAAAAGATCTTTTAAAGTGATTTGGAATTAAATAACTTTCCCCTGTTATGGGTGGAATTCCCCAATCGCTGAAGCACATTTCAATAATGTTCCTATATTGGGCATTGACAATAAGATTGAAGCCGATCGACCCACATTTCCACCAAGGAGATGGATTTTCCAAAAAGCTTAAAACAGCGCTCAAAAGAATATGAAGATCGATTTTTAAATATTAGCTTAAGGCCGATCGGATTTGAACCTTAAGAAGGGATGTTTGCCAACTTCGAAATCCCTTTTATGTACTTGCATTTAAAAGTCTTTATGTGCAGAAATACAAGCTAGTATCAGTTTTGAATGGCTGTGTGTAAACTACAAATGCATTGCCACAATACAGCCGCCCAATAACAAGTATACGACCCAATGTATTTTTGTATTAAATTAAACCACTATGACCCATATTTGCTCACACACGTGCATGCATATATACATGAATGTGTGTATTTACATATGGATAGATCCCGAAATAAACGAACACAGTCATCTATTTTGAGGGCATTTTTCCTTTTTCCGAAATTAATAAGCCCCGAGATACTACACTAATACACCTACGCTGTTCTAACACACACACACACACACATACCTAACCAAACGCAAGGCGAAACTGAGTTGCCCTAACTTAAAGTCTCGCACGGATCTATTAATAATCGCGATCATCTGAGCGAACACCTATGCGTAGAATCAAGAACTTGGGATACTCAAACACCTTGAATGCTGCAGCTGCTGTATATCTTACTTTGAAACTGATCGAATATGTTATGCCCTGCAATAAGAAAACATATCCATTTATAGGAACTAGCTTCTGAGTATGTAATTACATACAGGTGTATTTTGGGTGATCTACCTGTAGATGCCTATTTCATCCAAATCGGTTGGTAAAAGAAACATGCTTTCGCTTTCGATGATATGTGGACTAGTAAACAAAAACAAATAGTTCATGAATGAATTGAGGCAAGACGACTTTTCAATATTTTTCTATTTATCCGCCGTGTTTTTTGTTTTTGCATTGCGTTGTTGGAGGGTTGGGGTTGGGGCTGGCTGGTTGGTTGGTTTATGGCCGCAAAGCAGCGCGGCGGCAACAAGTTGAATTTTTCTAAAAATGAATACACGAAATATCTTCGTCTTTGGCGTTAAATACGGCCACGACAACGCACCGCAGCCCGATGAATAGAAAGAGCGGCAAAAGAATTCAATTTGATTTTTATTTGGCCCGCTCAACGTCCACGTCCACGTCCGCGCTGCTATTTTCCTCTATTGTGTGCGGGGCGTGCTTGCTCTCCGTCTGCGTCCTCACCTCTGTTTGCGTCTGCGTCTCCGGCTGCGGTCCATCTAAGGAGCATATTTTGAAAATGATGCTTTTCGTGACTTTCCCGCAACTAGTTGAGTTTTGGATGTCAACACGAGGTACACGCGCGCGATGACGATGCAGCATCCAGTTTGATAGACGCAACAACGTGGCCATTCCGACGGTACGGAACAAAGAATAGACTGGACAGTACCTGACTCAAACTTAAATTCATACTCAAAACCAAATAGCAAAGGTAATAAAAATGGGCATGTCCAAAATATGAATATATACTATATTTATATACAGAAACCAAGTATTATTAAAACCAAATTCGAAGACGTGACCCTTAGCAACCGATTCTGTGCACACATCTCAAAATGCATCTGCGTTTAAGCCTTTTATGGGCATACTTTCGCCAAGGGAATCGAATTTCATGTACAAAAACAAATTTCAGTTTCAGAGCGATATGCGTTGCGTTCTCTGCCTTGGCCACAGGCGTGTGTGTGTGTGTGTGTGTGTTCGTGCTTGTTTGTGTGTGTGAGATACAGCGCCACTTGCCAGTTCGCAGAGCATTTAAATAGAATTCCCGTGTTGCCACCGCCACCGCCGATAGAGACGGATACGGATACGATCAGCTACAATCGGCAACGGCAACGGCAACTTCTGCCGGCGTGCAAGAAAAATGTGTGTGTGTGTTTTTGTGTCTATTAAACATAACTGCAATTATGCCATATAAGGGCATGGATTGCATTTATCAGTCAATTGGGCATATGCTAACTATTCGCTGTCCTTCAATTCATCTCATTCCAGAGGGTAACATGGAGGATCTTACACGGGAGAAGGCCATGGCCTTTAATGCTTTTGAGCACAACAACAACAACAACATTACAAGCAACAACAAACAAATGTGTTCCAACATAGCCGCGACAAAGACCCACAAGCATCCGCCAAACGGCTTGGCTGCCGCGATTCTGCCATGCATAAAACTGGATCCGGATAGCGGCCAGGCTATCGAAACGGAGCGCTGGCAGCACACGGCCGTAAGCGATCATATGCGGCGTGAGCACTTGAACACCACCAAGCTGTTGCTGCAGGGCTCTGACGATCCACTGATCTCGCACGGAGCCAGCAATGATGCCCACGATGAAGATCAGGATTATCCATTCAAGACGCTGCTGGCTCGCAGAACTGAGGAACAGCAGTCCATGCAGAACGGCGCATGCAGCACGCTTACCAAGCAGCAGCTGAAGGCCAATCTGATGAGTGCACGCAAAATCCACAGGCAGCCGGTGCAGGAGTTGTCGCCGCCGATGCAAAGAACGTCGCGACAGGGCAAATCGAAGAAGCGGACAACCAACAACGGGGCGATCAAATTGCGATTTCATCATCAGGCCCTGCCAGCCGAGTATGCTGCCCATTACGAGGCAACGCAGAGACGCCACATGTCCGGCGCCAAAACAGTTCCACCAGCGCCCGCTGTGAAGGCCGCACACCCGCCACAGAACCAGTCGCACGAGAACGTGCGCAGCTGGCTGAGAAAGATAGCCGAGATACAGCGGAGCGCCGAGCGTCTGCAACAGGCCCAGGAATCCAGTAAAGAGCCCCAGCCGCGATCAGTAATGGGAGCAGCTGCAACAACGCCGCTAGAGGCAGTGCATGAGGTGACAGGCCCCAAGCGCGGTGTCATTAAATATGCCGATCTGCCCTACATGGGCGAAATCACCTTGGACAACTACAAACCCCGACGTGGGCGCAAGCCAAAGAAGGCTGACATATGTCATCTGATCTACAAGAACTACGGCACCATTATACCCGCATCGAACACGTCAGCAGAGCATTTTCCAATGGTTGAATCGAAGCACTCGCCTGCTGCGCAGTCTCACACTTGTGCAACTGCATCGGTACTTGCGCAGCGAGTTGTGTCTAGGACTGCCCCTGCCGTTGCGGCAGAGGAGCCACTGAATCTCTGCATGCGGGATCAGTCAGGTGACCGGTACTCAATCTCGAGCGGCGACAGTGATAAGCCCTCGACAGTTACTAATGCAACTACACCAACTACCGAGTGTGGCAGTTCCTCGCAACGGGCGACACCCCTGACCGAGGATCATTTATCTACTAAGCCTGTATCACTAAGGTTTTCTGGAGAGGAACCCAGGGTCGCCGGAAAACTGCTCTTACAGCCTTCGGGGCTGTACTACCAGCAACTAATGGAAAGCTGCCGCCTGGGCGTGGCAGTAGAGACCATTGAAAAAGACAACCAGCTAGCCCTAAAGATTCCCCTACCAAATGGATTCTTTGCCACCACAAGCACCATATCCGACAAGCGGGAGACGCTGGAGCAGAATATCGATGCTGCAACATCGCCTGCGATGCGCAAGCGTAAGCGTTCAGCGATCTTTATACCGCCCATGCCGGCCGAGCACAGCTCCAGCCCCTCCACTGAGGTCAGCATTTGCAAGTTTAAGTTCACAGGCGGGGCTAAACCCACGTTGGAGGAAAAGAAGATGCTGTCGGTGGATGCGGAGGGCAACTATCGCTATTACAATGGCACCGGCGATAGGACATTGCGTGGCTACGAGTTCATATCACGGGAGCAACAACAACAACTACAACAGCAACAACAACAAATTCAGTCAACAAATTCATCCAATGACAAACTTTATATCGATATACCACCGCCTTCGACGGATCTCAGCCTGGAACTGTTGCACATACCACCCGAATCTCCGACATCTTCGCTTCTGCTGCCCAGCAGCCTGGTGCCAGTAGAATCGCAAAGCCCGTCCAGTTACTCCAACTCACATAGCCCAATGCGACTCACCACGCCACACCCAGAGGATTGCCACAAGCCGATAGATCCGTCCGAGCAACTACACAGAACACTTTTGAGTCCAAAGCTCGAGACATCTGCGTCTGCGGGAAAACGGCGTTCGTCACGCCGCTCGAAGCAGCGCGAAAAACTAGAAAAGACATTTAAGGAGAAGGGATTCCTAATACAAACGCAACAACTGCAATCGGCCGAGGGAGCCACCTACTGCAAGTTTAGGCAGTTGAAGAAGTTTACGCGCTACCTGTTCCGCAACTGGAAGGATCACATACCGGAGAGTGACCTTTGCAAGCATCGCGCCAAGGATGGCGTTGCTCGCGAGCAGCACACCGTCCTCGAGAATATACTGGCCGGACAAATTAGCCTAGGTGTGGAGAATCTGTCAGCAAGCCAAGCTGCAGCCAACCAGGCCACTTAGAGCAACCCGACGAGCTTTACTTAGTTTACGCCGAACACACTGCCAAAGATTGATAGATGTAAGAAAGAATTGTCAGCACAAACGAAGAAAAGTTTTGGCAAGACAGCAATTATCTAAATACTATGTTGATTCCGTCCAAGCTGGCTACTTAATATAGTTCATGGCCACGCCTCTAGTCGTTCAGCAATTTAAGCAAAGTTATTGTTAACAATAAAATAAAATCTAACAAAAATATGAATTTCAGATCAGATCGTACCGCGGTAATACAAAATGAATGCGAAGGGGACTCTCACAAGCAAGAAAATAAATAGACAACAATGTTACTGGGGTTCACTTGGGGAGCAAGTGTGCCTTGACTTTCCTTATGAGGGATGGCAGTATTTTCACTGGGAAAGCCCTGATCTGAGCTGGCGTACTCTAACCAGATGCTTCATCCGAACCCAAGTAAATCCTCCAATCATATCCTGTACTGTGCGTCAGGAACGACGATATTTGAAGATATTTTCATAAATTTTTCGATTGCCATCTTCACTTGGTATTAATTCCTTTTGGAAATGTGAGGTCACAACGGATTTTGCCTGTGGTCTCTGGCTCTGGTCCAAATATGCAACCTGATCTTATATAAAATCGTGCGCTACTGCGTTGACAGCGTGTCCAGAAGCCCTGATTAATATATCCCTTAGGTGGGATCTAGTGGCTGGAGGCGGTTCCAGGCGTCCTCCACGAGCTATGTGGTTATCCTATGAAGATATTATTGATGGGTCGTTTTGAAAATAGATGTGCCAGATATAGAATTGAATATGTAATATATATAGACTATATATAATATATATAGACTTTCGGAATCCAATCCATTCTTGCCTGATTAAAGGATAATTCAAAATATTTGACTTCCGTAAAAATGCGTTATATACTTTTGAAATATCGGGCTAATAACATATAACTTAGTGTTAGTACAAATAAACTCGGATATTGTGCTATATGCCAGACTTTCGATTGCTTTCCAGGTCGTTAATATGTATGCTCTTTTAAATACTTCAGTTTTTCATACTTTGGAAGACGTTAATGCTCAAATCGTCTTATGTTAATTATACGAGTAAAAAAGTGCAAGTTTCCAAAAAGGTATGTAGTATGTGGTAGTTGTGCATTGAGCAGCCTGCCTTGCTAATACGTTATTAATTGGTCGTTGGGTTTTTACGATAAATTGCTTAATTGTTGGCTCACATTGCTAGCCTTGGTAAATTCTTGCAAATACAGCTCCTTGGCTGTAAGTCTGTATGTCCGACTTTGGCTAGATCGTAAAGTTGATCAGCTTCAGGGTCAGTTTGTGGCGTGAACTTAAAACTAGATTAACAATAATTATATTATTACGCATAAGTATGTTAACCGCGACTCCGATTGTGAACCCCTTTCGCAACGGTTAAGTGGAGCTCAACGAACCATCATTATCTTTAAGCGTCTCCGAGGTGGACAGCACGGGCACTACAGTATTCATTGGGCATACTAAATCCGTCCAGTCGATCTCATTTTGTCCCTTTGAACTCTTGCGACGCTTGAGTGTAAATTGAGAGCGCTTGGGTGGCTTCAGTTTTGCAGTGATGGTGAGTGGCAGATAGCCAGGAGCTGCTTCGGCATCGCGTTTACTATGTATAATTGTACGTCCAACTAATTCCTTAAAATGCATTGCCAAGTGGCGACGAAGCAAAGATTTACTCGGTGGTATCGAGAGTAAATCAGCTAGCAAATCGGCGTTGAAACGATCCTCATAGAGCATCAATGCGCCATGGACTCCAGCACCGCGCAGATTTGGCGCATACTCAGACAGATCTATTGTTTTCAGCCACTCCATGACTCGGTGTGCCGTCCACAAGTCAACGCTTTCCTTGTCAGGACTCTTGGCTTCGTCGCTCTGATCGACCACCTTGGTTGAACGACGAATCAGGCCTTCGCCATCCCAGGACATGCGACGCATGCATAGAATGCCACATCGCAACGACGCGATGTGCAAGCAGGAGCTCACATGCAATTGCGAAAGATCCTCAAGCGTTAAACGATGCAACATGCGACCATCGACTTTGGCCTGCAGAAAGTAATCCTTGTACTGAGGCAAGCCAATGTCATCTAGCCAACGCAGCACCCAGCCAACATCCAGTTTTGCAGCCTTGACCGTCAGCTCGTCAAACTCCTTTTTCGTGATGTCGTCAATGGCCAACATGATTTTCTTTCGATGCAGAACCGATTTTAGATGAAGTTCACGTTCGATATCAACCGGAGAAGCGGTAAAGAAGCATACAGACGGATCTGCTTTTAGCCATTTCCTGTGACCAATATATTATAGAATAGGCAACATTATTATCGAAGATCTCACGACACTTTATAGCAGATGGAAGATGATGTATTGTTTGAGAAAAATGTTTGTGATAGCAATTATATTACAACGCTGTGTTGAACGGATGAATGATAAATTTGGTGCAAAATATATATCAATTCGTAATTGGCTATTAAAATTTAAAAATCTTACTACTACAAAGGCCAAACATAAAGTTAAGATGAGCAGTGGTGCGTTGTGCGTATTATAATATAAAAGGATAGCACTTACCTGCAGTTGTCCTGATAACATCCGAGACCCATGTGCGCTAACCAGTTGCACACTTCCTGTGCGTTCCAGCTGCTGTAATGCTTATCGGCATCGCAAAACATTGGTGTCTGTGCGCTCCATTCTATGCGGCCGCCTGCAGTTGCACGCGACCCACCCCGACGAAACTCATCTGGTTCCGCTTGCTCCAGGGCGGTCAGCTCGCAGTTGCTGCTATTGCTGCGTCGCAGTTTGCCTAAAATGCTGCGCAAACCGCGCGCAGAACGCTCGCGTAGCTTTGGCGAGGGCGTTGATTGCGTTTGGGATCGAAAACTAGAGTACATCGACATGGCGTCTTCTGGTGGGACAGCACTATCGCTTAGTACACTATCGTCGATTAGAATTTGTTCGTTGGAGGCGAACGCAACATTACGTTGCTTCCCACTGCTGTTTGCATTCACGTCTAGGGTGTGATTATTGTTATTGTTTGCTTGCAAGCGCTGTACCTGCTTACTGGCGCCGCCATGGGACCGTGGCAAGCTATGGAATTGGGGCTTAATCTGGTGACGTAAGGCTGAGGGTGGAGTTTTTGGTGCTAAGCCACCATCTGCCGCGAAGGTCTTTTGATTTATATTGCCCATGCTACCGTAGGGCATGTTGCAATCGGTGGCATTCAGCTCGTTTTCGCACTCCAGCGCCGTTCGATGCAGCTTTAGCTCACTTAAGGCACTCATCAATTCCAGTTTTTGTGTTTCTAGCGCAGATCGCGAAATCATTTGGCGCTGCAGCTGCTCTTCTTTGGTGCAAAGCTGCTGCGATTTGTCCGTCAACAGGCCCTCCAATTCAATTATTCTATCTGCTTGCTCAGAAACGCGTTCGGCTAGCATTTGGTATTGTAGCGCCAATCCTTCCTTGTCGCGCTGCAAACGCCGCATGCGTTCATCGGAGTCCTGGCGTGGTATGTGCGTTTCCAGCCAATCGCTTATTATTGCAGCGGTAACTGGATCTGGAGCTGGCGCTGCCAAACCGACCTGCAGAAGTGCGGAAAAGGGTTAGATCTGTACATATTTACTGAGCCGCTGACTCACCTGTTGCAGCGCCAAAGCCAATGTCTTAGCTGTTGACAGCACATTTGTTGCAGAAATTAAATTACGCTCACAGAAGCTAGTCAGCGAAGCCGTAGTCGGCTGAGTCTGGGGCTGACCGACCGCTGCCGTCGCTGAGTTCGATATTATGCCATCCATCTGCTGCAGTGCTGCCTCTAACATTTTACTCGCCTCTGTTGCTGTGGCCGTCATGATACATACAATGTGTGGGCAAAGCTTTAACAGTAATCCGTATCCGGTGATCGATGTGAACACGAAATTCTTATTTTGGGCGTTGGTGCATTGTTACATAAGCACCATCAATGAAAGCACGCCATTTTGTACGTTTTAGGGCTTCAATAGTGCATTAATAATACTTTTACCACAAAAAAAAAAAAAACTAGCACTAAAACAACAGAAAATGCAACAAATGAAAATTTTTGCTACTGTGGGCACATGCTAATTGTTCCATTTATGTTATCGATATTATAAAATATCTGCTATCGATAGTCTATGCATGACAGAATCATGTAAGAACTAAATAATGAGTGTGACCGTTTTCGCACATTTAAATCCGCACAAAATTTAAAAACAATAAACCAAAAGAACTCTACATATATCCTGATACTTTCGTTACGTGGTTAATATAAGTGAATATAAAAGTAATAAAATTCCGATTTTAAATGGAATGAATTTTACCCTATTAACATTTTGCCTATTTATTTTTAAGTCGAGAGATCAAGCAATTTATCGATATGTCGTGACGCAGCCATTCATTGGAACATTCCTAGTTCTATTAAAAACCAAAACAAATCTAGAATTTAATAAATAAATTGGGATTAGCAGCAATGAATCGCTTTGCATATGAAGAGGCTCGTTTAGTTGAAACCGAGTCCTTTGTAAGCCGCGACCGCAACGTCAAAATCTACGATGGCGACCAAAAGGTAGCTCACATCAGCTTCTAGTTTTAGCTGCTCTTTTTCAACAATCTTCATTTCAGACGGAATTCGAGGATGGGGAAGTGGTACTCACCACACACAGACTATTCTGGGGCCGTCCTGGCGAAATAGCACGAGCAGCCGTAACACTCTGCCTACCATTAAGCTATGTAATCTCTCTCAGTGAAGAAACAACAGCCTCCAATTTTTTTGGCCGCAAAACTCGCATTATAATGCATTTGCGACCGCCTAGCGCAGACAAGCCTCCTGGGCCCCTGGACACAAGCCGAGCTGCACATATTAAGCTGTCGGGCAAGAACGGGCTAAGCGCTGAGTTTCACAGCGCCCTGCGAGAGACATTAAATGCGCGCGTCTGGACCATCTCGTTTACGAGTGAAACAATCTTAAGAGGACCAGAAGCTTCGTCAGAGGTCAGCGATAAGCTGGCGAGGATACAGAAACGCACGGGTATTGGTGGAATAGAACGTCACCTAGAAGCAAAGGCCAAGGCAGCGGACGAGAACATAGCACTTGCGTTTCAGGATCTGAATGTTCTCATGGCTATGGCAAAGGACATGGTGGGCTTATCTAAAAATATAAGCAGCAAAATACGTGAGCAGAGAGGTGAAATATCCGATGACGAAACGGTGCGCTTTAAATCTTACCTGCTCAGCCTGGGCATTGATGATCCGGTGACACGCGACAACTTTACCAGCAATACGGCGTACTTCAATAGCTTGGCCCAGCAAATTTGCGAAATGCTGCTCGATCCAATTGAAGTAAGTGTGGCGATACCTGCATAGAGCGAAAAACAATACTATTTCCTATCTTGTTGTTGGGTAGGAGCATGGCGGCATGATGTCCCTGGCCGATGTGTATTGCCGTGTGAATCGCGCACGCGGCCTTGAGCTTCTTTCGCCCGAAGATTTGCTTCACGCTTGCGAACGTCTTAGTGGACCCATAAAACTGCGTCGATTTCCCAGTGGTGCCATGGTTCTGCAACTGGAGTCCCATGATGATGAACTAATTTCCATCGATACATTGGAGAAAGTGAAGGCTGCCGAGTCCTTGGCGGTGGAGGAACTCGCAAAACAGCTGGGCATCTCGCTGTTATTAGCTAAGGAGCGTCTGCTGGTGGCCGAGCGACTGGGAAGAGTTTGTCGTGATGAGTCGGTGGAGGGTCTGCGATTCTATCCGAATCTCTTGCTGCAGCGTGATATTGACTAACAGTTTTTATATAAATTGGTAATTAAAAATAACTCGGATTTGTCTCTTAAAGCTAATGATTAAATTGTCAATGGTGCAATGAGCAGATCCGGCATTCAGATAAACACAGAGCTTTTGTACATTCACACAACAAAACTGTTTTATATTTGATTTATTAGAAGTCTTTCTTAGATGCATTTGCTTACTATTCACTTGTTTAGTGACCTTTGTTAGCGCTTAACTTCAGTTCTCTCGAAAGTCTTTAAACATAATCGGTTTTATGTTTACTTTGAAATGAAAAGATTCTACGTCAGGTATTTAGATAAGCAATTATTGAATTGAAGTTACATTTATGTTAATAGATATTTAATAGCTTATGCTGAGTTTTAATTTGCTTCGTATTACTGTCATGTAATTTATATTTAATTTTATCATTTTTTTACTTCACTTTTGCTCTGAAGACACGGACTCGTGCGCATTTTCGGCCTTGACTACCTGGTTTTTATCGTTACATTTATAATTTGTTTAGGTAGTACCATGTTTTCTTTCTTAAATCACATTTATTATAACATTGAGTAAATTATTTTTGAGTGTATGTGTGTGTATAGTTGGGTAACTCTGTTGCTTTTTGTTTCCTTTCATTTAAATTATTTGTTAGGGTATTTGTATTATATAGGCATTTTTGTTGTACAGAAAAAAGCATACTATGCCAAACAATTACAATTACAGCAAAAGGTCTAACGAAATTAAAAATACTTAAATAAATAATTTCATGCTACTAAAAAACGGTCTTAGTTCGAAAACAAATTTTTAGTTATATATGCATAAAGCGACAATTTATCAGCTCGCAACTACTTTTTATGATGGTAACTTTGGGCCGCTTTTTCCATTGTATTTTACATTGCGCTATTACAAATAAATTGTTTAAATATGCATTTTGTTTTGTTAAATTTTTGTTACTGTAAGTTATGAGTTTGCAATTGGAAGTACGACTACTAATTTTTGTTTCTTAGTTTTGCTGATGGTTTACAATACAAACTAAATATTTTTTATTTTAATAAAATTAGGTTAAGCATTTAAATAATTAGCAATAATAATAATTACAGTAATAATAATAATAATAATATTTATAATAGTACAATATGCATATGTATATTTATATTTATATGAACCATTACAACTGTTCATACATTTGTAACTAATCCAAATCGTAATAGTTAGCCGTATTCTGTTTTACAATCAATTTTACATTTTGTGGGTTTTCTTATTATTGCTTTCTTTTGCTTTCATTTTGCATTTGAGGGCCTTTCTGCCTTACTGCCTTGCTGCTCTTAAGCTTAAAGTTAGCACGCACGCTTACGTAGCTAGTCTTAGAGTGTAACAAATTGAAGTTGGAGAGCCAAACTAATAGACATTATTGAAATGGCTTTTCGGCGCACGTAAATATGAAACAATCAATATGTACAATTAGATAAATATTAATAAGAGCTTTACACTTAATTTGTTTTGTAGTTTAGCAGAAGTTACTGCAAGGGGCACACTAAACACAAGCGCAGTCATCAACGCAATCACCGGGAACGATAATCACATTTAGCTTCCCGTACTAACAAGAGGTGTCCAAATTGATCTCGTACAGCTTGAGCAGTCCATAGGCCCACACAATTTACACTTACAATTATACACATCAAAATATATGCAGATATATGGGTATACAATGTATGCAGTAGTGCTATTTAAGTTGTAAACATAAACTATAATATCATGCAAATACATAACGCGTAGCCTTATTACTTGTCTCCTCTCCTCAATTAATCAAAATTAATAGTGCGACTCTTTTGTATAATTGCCAACTTCAGTAGCAACTACTGTGTGCCCATTGTTTTGTCCGTGGGCTAGGATAGAGAAGCAGCGCTATTACTTGGTTGCATCTGTGGTGGATCGCCGTCGATTGACCGCTGCCTGCTGCTGCTGCTGCTTGGCCACTGCAATGGCCGTAAGGGTGCGCTGACTGATGACGCTTGCGTTGGTCGGAGCAGTGCGTCCAGCGATTTGTATGTGCTGTAGCTGTTGGTGTTGCACTTGGCTAGGACTTGGCAGCGTCTGTGAGGCGGCTGTGGCGGTGCTCTGATTGAGTATTCGATGCTGCTGCTGTTGCTGCTGAAGTGACTGTTGCGTCGGGGCCTTGACGGTCTTCAGTTGCATCTTCTGCGCAGACATCACAATAGGCCCCGCACTGATGTTACTGCTATTGGTGACGACATTGGCTACACGAGAAGCGAATACATTGGTTTAAATTATTGATTTACTTTGACAATGATTGGCCGACTTACCGTTGACTGGAGTTGTCGCGATCTTCAACGTGGAGCCGCCAATCTGGCGCTGTGCGGTGAGCAACTGTCGGCTACTGGCCAGCTGCTTGGTGCCCACCACCTGAACGTTGCGCGCTCTCGGCTGGATAGCTGCGGTGGCTGCAGTCGCTACAACACCTACACCACCACCACTTGAGGTACGTATTGTTTGAGGATTGAGTTTCTGTACGCCGGCACCGACTAGTTGAGCTGTAAACAGAAAGCAAATTGGGTGTGCGGGGAGATTTTTTTTTTGTTGTTGTTTTAGGTTACAATGAATCTGTTGGTCTAAGACGCTAACTAACCGCCACCGTTGGCCCGGCTAGGGGCCCGTTAGACGGTGCATGGGTCAAACTGATGGCGTGGGTTAAATACAGAACACATAAACACATTTTAGTTGCATGATTATCGGAACGAGTTGTTAAGAGGTTTGGTTTGTGTAAACAAGAAACGAAACGAAAGTAGAAACAGAAACAGAAAAGAACAAAATTAAGCATGTTCAATAAAATAGGTAAATATATCATATATAAAAACATATTTATATAAAGTATAAATTCAAATCGTAACAAGTATCAAAGCCGCCCCAACGGGCCGATTTATCTCTCTCTCTCTCTCTCTCGCTCTTGGCTGAGCACTCATGTGCAATTGCCAGCTGGATCACTTACCAATGGGCAGGGTGAGCATTGCCGTTGTAGCGCCTGTTCCACTGGCATTGCCCCCGCCTCCGGTTCCTCCTCCGCCGGCAGTTGCGTTATTTGTAATGACCACCGTTTGGGTGCCAGCCACCGCAGAGGGCAGACTAACAATGGTGCCTGTGGGCGGCGCATGCTGATGCTGATGCTGTTGCTGTTGGGGCGACGTTTGCGTCTGCAATGTGATAGTGTGGGACAGCTGCTGTTGCTGCGTGGATACTGGCACTGAGACCAACACGCTGCGCTGCTGCGACTGCGCCGGCGCCAAAGTTCCGCTTGCTGTCGAGGCCTGCTGCTGTGATTGCTGTTGCTGCACCTGCACTGGCGCCTGCAAACTGTTGCCGGAGAACTGCAGTGAAATGGGCTGCGTAAAGCCCGGAATCTGCACCTGTACATTCTGCAGACCAGCAAAGTTTGCCATCGCTCCCTGCAGCTGTGACAGATTGATACCCTGTAGATTGAGCGTAGCAGTCGTCTGCTGCTGCTGCTGCGGCGAGGCCGACGGCTGCGGATGCGGACTAGACATAGGCGAGTGTATGGATGAGGTGGCGGGCGAGTGTACCAGTGTCTTGGTAATGAACTGTTGCTGTTGTTGGTTAGCTTGTGCTGAAGCCGCCTGTTGCGGCGACATGTGCGGCATGGCTACTGCTGACACGGCGGACACATTTGATGTCACATTGCTGAGCCTATCGAGTAGCACCTGGTTCTGGTGCGTTTGCGACGACTGCGAGTGATCCGAGCCCGACGGCGACGGCGTGGCCGCATTGGTTAGCAGCGCGTTCAGCGCTCCGCCACCAGAAGCCGACGATAAGTTCGTGGGCACCGCAAATCCACTAGCATTTGAGGCGTTGGAGTCGCTGCCAGGAGAGGGTGCCGCCATCCCCACCACGATCGCATTTGGCGGCGCCGTAGTGCTATCCCTACGCAGCGAGCTCAGTATGCGCTGCTGCTGTTGCTGACCTGTATTGTGTATTTTAACGCTGCCGCAGACGCCGCCCGTGCTGACCGTGTAGGCGCCATATCCAGTTGGGGGATTCGTCATCACGGCGGGCGGCGATGCCAGCTGCGAGGCAAGCGCTGACATGGACACGCGCACCGCCTGACTGCCATCGGTCGCCTGCTGTTGCGGCTGACCCTGCGACTGGTTGAGGTTGACGGCAATCAGATTGCCCGCCGAATTAGTTCGAAACGTGGTGCTGCCACTTGCGCCAACAATATTGATTTTGCGGTTGGAGTTCAACAGGCTCTGCAGCACCTCGCTAGACGGCTGCTTGCGTTGTGCACTCACAAGTGTTGGCGTGCCGCGTGTCGTCTGTACATATGTGGCCGTAGCCGCATCTACCGTGGTGGGCCCCGATGGCTGCTGTTGCTGTTGTTGTTGCTGATGCTGCACCAATGTTAACGTTTGCTGCTGGCCAGTGGACGAGGTGGTGAACGTGCCACTGGCGACTGGCGTGCTCGTCATGGCTGCGGGCGCACTATTCAACAGGTTCAGTATGGACGCATTGCACGAGTTTTTCAAAGTTGTTGTTGCAGGACTTCCGCTGTTGGAGCTGCTAATATTGATGATCGGGGTCGAGTTGCTGTTGCTCGTGGGCGTGCCGCCTACTAAAAAGTAACAGAGTTAAGGATAAATATAATCAAGCATAAATAAAGCGACTTACAGTGTTGTTGTTGTTGCTGTTGCTGGTGTTGTTGCTGCTGCTGCTGCTGCTGGTACTGGTTAGCGGAGTTCATGATACTGGTGACTATGGCATTAATCGCGGGATTTGGATGCATGGCCGTGTTGTTATTATTGTTGCTGAGGGTATTGTTATTTGTGGCAGTTATTTGTTGCTGCTGCTGTTGTTGCTTCTGCAGTGATTGATGTGTGGCAACAATCGGCGAAGCCTTCAGTTGCGATTGCTAAAAGCAAATGGAATACAAAGTGAGTGAAGTATTGACGACCCTGAACTGTAAAGCTCTGTCTGATCAGCCAGACACATATATATGTAAAATGGCTCACACTAATAATACTTACGAGAATTGGCACATTGGAGTTCAGCTGGGCACGCAACGCGGAATTGGCACCGATGGCCGTGTTCAACTGGGCTGGCGACGCCTTTTGCTGTTGCATGTTGGCTGGCTGTATGGTGATTCCCGAGTGCTGCAACGTCGTGCTTAGCTGCTGTTGTTGCTGCTGCTGCGGCTGTTGCTGTTGTAGCAATACCAGCGACCCGTTTCCCAGGCTCACCTGATGGGTGGTACCGGTAGATGCGTTTCCGCTGGCTGTAAGTAGTTGTATATGCTGGTGCTGATGTTGTTGTTGTTGTTGCTGCTGTTGCTGTGACGACTGCTGCAAGAGGTTATTGTTGCCACTGCCTAGCTGCGATTGCTGCGGCTGCTGCTGGATTTGCAGCGCACCATCAACATTGAATTGAGCAGTGGCCAGTGGCTGCTGCTGCTGACGAAACGTTTGTGGCAGGTTGGTCGCCTTAGTAACAACTCCTGGTTGACGGGAGAGGGTCACGTTTGGATGTGTTTGCGCAACATGATGAACTGTCGCAGGCAGTTGCTGCTGCTGCTGAGCAAACTGAGCTTGTCGTTGCTGTTGTTGTTGCTGCTGTTGTTGTTGTTGTTGTTGTTGTTGCTGCTGTTGCTGCTGCTGTTGTTGCTGCTGCTGCTGTTGTTGCTGCTGTTGTTGCTGCTGCTGCTGTTGTTGCTGCTGTTGTTGTTGTTGCTGCTGCTGTTGTTGCTGCTGCTGTTGTTGCTGCTGCTGCTGTAATAGTAACCGCTGCTCATTAGTTAGTCCAGTGTGGGTGACAATTGGCACATGTCCGGGTATCAGATGCGTTATCTTAACAGCCTTGCGTCCCTCCTCTGTGAATATCTCCCGGAATTGCTGAATATATCGATTCGCATGGACACGGGTACCCAATGCAAAGCGGCACGACTCTCCATTCCGCTCACCCTCGCGATAGTCTCGATCCACATACAGTTCGCCAAGGTATTCTGCGTCGGAGGGACGCTGATATATGGACAGCTTGATGTGATACAGTGCACGCCGGCCCTCGTTCGCCTCACGTTCCGTCTCCAACACATATTCCTCGATAAGCTGCGGCTGAAAGTTGTGCCGACAGTTTGCCTGGCAGCCGTCCTTACACGCCTCGCTGAATTCGTTTAATGGCTCCAAGGGCTTAGCATATTTCTCAACGCTGATGACGTTCTCGGGTACCTTTAGCTTTGCCGGATAGTCAAGGGTGGGTGGTCTTATGGGTCGGATGACCTCGTGCGGCCGCCTTGGTACTTTTGAGGTGAATGAGGAGAGCATGGCGCCCACCAGGGGATTGTTGCTGGGCGCTGTTGCGGGAGTTGCGTTCGCTGTGCTGTTGCTGGAGCTGCGCGGGCGCTGGCGCAGACGTGTCAGATAGTCACATAGCTCGAGGCCCTGGTGATGCGTGAACTGATCTAGCTTGCGCTTGCGATTGATGGCCACCTGGGTGAACTTCTTCATCTGGCGGCGCATTTCATGCGAATTAAATCGTTGACGCTCATGCTGTGCATTGATCGACTGGCGACCAATGCTCGGATCAGGTTCCAGACACAGCGGCTCGGCCGTGGCCAGCACCAGTTGACTTTCGATCGCCAGTCGGTCCTCTGGCGTTGCGCCGGCCAAGCCCAACGAGCTGCCCAGCTGCTGCACGTCCGCGAACAGCGTTGCATTGCTGGGTCGCAGAAGGATGTGCTTCATATCACAGATATTTGTTGAGGTGGCAAACGTCTGGCGGAAATCGCGTATTTGCGCAATAACGCAGCCAGCATAAAAAACGCTCGGCTTGGCATAAACCCGCGAACCGTCGCTTCCATCTTGTGGTGAGCTCAGGCTGACGGTATCGGCGCTCAGCAGATCCATGAGGAATTCAGGCAGCAGTTCACGGTCAATACACTGCAGCAGCAAATCGTTTTCATACGGCCAGCGCAGCACCTCAACCAGGCCATAGCTAGATGACAAAGGCGCAGACGCTGTCTCTCCTGCTACCGGCTCGTTTTCGGTCAGTCTCGACTTCGTTCTGAACGGGTTACAAGCGTCGCCATCAGCCTGCGCTTTGTTTCGACTAGTAGTGCTTTTTTCTGTCGTGTTCTCGTTGCCATGGATGCCATGAGGGTGGGTGGGATCCGAAACGATCCATTCGTTTGTGAGCGGGTTGAGCATTACTTGTTCATCGTAGTGCAGTGCCAGAGAGTAGCCTTTATTGCCAGGATACAAGTTAACTACGATGGTGTTCAATCGCTCGCATTCCACAAGTCGTTCCAGAATGAAAGAGCGGCTGCGCTGCTTTAGCTGCACACGATAAATTGCAAAAATGAATTTAAGTTTGAATTAGTATGTGCTTTACAATCTTACCCCCGTTTCCGCAAAGTGATTCAGATCATTGCTAAGCAATTGGAGATACAGCTCCTTGATTTTGTCGTGGATATTAAAGAACTTTGTAGTCGTTTCTCGCTTGTGCACTGAGTTGGACGCGGACGTAGATGCGGAGGTGCTGCTGGCATTGGTATTGTTGGAGCCAGCTCCGGCGCCAGCACGCGGTGATGCAGACGTAAGAGCTGTATTGCGACTAGAGGAACTGCACTCCTTATTGTTGCTACTGCTGCTTTTCTGTCGTTTGCTAGGCGACGATGTGGGCGATGACAGGACATTGTGGTTGTGCGACTGAGCCTGATGTATGTGCAGGTGGTGATGGTGGTGTTGGTGATGACTGCTGCCACTGCCGGTCGAAGCATTTGAGCTGCTCGAGGGGGGCCGTCTGTCAACCTTCTTGGCATTGCTATTATTATTATTATTGTTGTTGTTGTTGCTACTGCTGTGAGATTGCTGTTGCAGGTGCTGATATATATGTGACGAGCTGGCGGTGGTGCTATTGCTGTTTAAGCTGGAATTGACACCCGGTGGCGTGGACAACAACAGGTCAGGAACTACCGGTGAGGGCGACGTAATTGAGTTCAAGTTGGACAGCGTCGTTGTTGATGAGGAACAGGACGACGGCGATGGCGCTATCGCAATCCCAGTACAGGGTAGCCCACTTGCTGTTGTACCCGAACCTGGGGCCTGCGACTGCTCCGTAAGTATGACAATGTTGCCACTCGCAGGCAGTTCAGTGGGCGATTCGTCGTCATCGAATATGCAGATTGGCGGTTGCGCAGGTATTTGAGGTATCGCCTGCAGCAGGCTTGTCTCCAGAAACGATCGTAAGCTGACCGATTGTACTTGCTGCTGTTGCTGACTGTTGTTGATGGCAAGCGTGGGTGAGCATGCGGCCTGCAGCACGGTATGCAGCTGATTGTACGACTGCTGATGTTGCTGGCTTTGTGGCTGCGGCGAGCCTTGTGAGCCCTGCGTCGTCTGGTAGACAAAATGCTGTTGAACGGCCGAGCCAGCGGCATGCGCCAGGCCCTGGGAACTCGCATTCAGTGGGTTGTCGCCCTTTAGCTTCTTAAGTGTGTCATTTATGATAAACTGGATGTTGTGAAACGGAATTTGACATATTTAAGTGCTCGTAAAGGATATTTGCTCCTATCTAACCGATACTGATACTTACATCTGCTTCTTGGCATGATGAATCCAAGCTTTGCATTGTGCCAGTGAGGAGTGCAAGTCGTGGTCGCAGTCCCAGTTCCAGTTGCAGCCGAGTTTCAATTCAATTACCAACGACGACGACATTCAAATCAAGGAGCGAGAACTGTACGAGAACAGTAGTTAGGCGCCTCCCCAGGACCAGTTCAGTTGTTTTCATCGCTCCTCCTTGCGCTTGCAGGTGTCTGCCTGCCGAGTAACAACTACTCAACAACAACAACAACAACAACTCGTTATTTTCTATTTCGATTCCCTTTTTAGCACAATTTTGATTGCGGGCCAAGCATTGCCATTGAAATTGCGCCTTTTTGCACAGAAAGAGTCTTTTAATATTGTTATTGTTGAGTTTTTATGCGCTTTTCCTTCCCCCAAATGTAATTTCTTCACTCTTTTTCTGTCGCTGCTGCTTTGCGTGACATTTTCTCTTCGTCTTCGCCCCTCATTCGCCTATGGTATTTCTGGCTTTTTACACACACACAAACACAAACTGCAAGCTGTAAACGCGACGTACGTACACGTACTTTTTTTCAACTTTTCAAGTAATATCTTAATTTAAATGTTTTTCATTTGTTTAATGTTTTTTTTATGTTTTATGCAGAAAGTTTAGTTTTGCAATGGTACGTTCTCGCCGAATACGCGTACACACTGGCAGCCAATAATTGTGTTATCGATACCGATAACTTTACAATATGGGCTAAGAATGATGTGAACAATTTTGAATTAAAAATGCAAAAACGATTGCTTATTCAAATTATTCAACAACTTATGCAATTATAAATAGTTTTAATTCAACATATCATATTAATAAATTGTTAGCAAACAAACAGCAAAACAATTTTTCCATAAAATTGTATATGGTTACACTGGCCAACGATAGTTATATACGATAGTTGAGAAGGTCGTAATGTGCAAGTCAGCGTTGCCAGCACGTTCAAAGTGATACCGACGGTTTGAAGGGCATACAAGCGCGCGCTTTCAAGCCAGATTTGAAATCATTCGAAAACAAATTTATTTTAATGTTTATTGTAAGATTCACTTAAATAATAATAGAGTGCTTGTTAGAGAGTACTGTGTATTTGCCACTCGTTTGATTTAAGTTTTATAGGATTCATTTGGATAAACATAAGCTTACATTAAATTCATAATTTAGAATTATGAAATAAACATACGTAATATGCATACATAAATATGTATGCACATAATTTAATACATATTAAGGATTAGTCTATCTATGCAACTATGCATTAAGAATACCAATTTTGTCACATGTACGTATACGCTTTTCCATAACTATATTCATATTCAATAATAAAATCATAATAAGAAACTTGTAATACACTCGCATTTGAAGAATTTTCACATCGTCATGAGATCTTTAAAAATCAATTGTGTAGTTTTAAATAAGAACAGCTTTTGAGTTGGTCCTCACATTTGCACTGCCGGTCTACTCCTTCTGGCCCTGCAACTTTTTCCATGTGTCGCCCAGTGCCTTGGCAAAGTGATCGTCTACAGAGGCCTCAGTCTTGGTGAATATCGAAATGTTTGTGGATGAGGTAGGCGAAGCGGGCGGCGTATGCGTCGATGATGCTGCGGCCAGTCCCGGTTCGGCTTTCACACGTATAATAGCTGGCATGGTGGGCGGCGTTGGCGTCGATGCCATCACTACGCTGCCATAGGCCGGTGGTGGTGTATTACATCTGGGGGGTGTATGATGAGGTGTGTCCAGGGCTCTCTCTCTCTTGGTTACGGGTGCATCTAATATTTGGCTGGCGCCAAGCGGTGGCGAAGGGCACGACAAAGCGGAAGCTGCTCGAACGGGCGGCGGAGACAGGGACAGCGGCTCCTCCTGGGGCGGCGGCAGTTCGTGCTGCGGCGATACCGGTGCAGACTGCAACGTGGGTGAGTGAACGATGGGCAAGCCCAGCTTAGACATGGGCAGTGTCAGCGGCAATGGCGAGTGATTTTGCTGGTAAGTTGTTGTTGTTGGTTGTTGCCGATAGCCTTGTGGCGAGATCTGCTGCATGGGTGTTCCACTCCCAGCCACCGGCTGCAACTGAGACTGTGGCTGTGGCGACGGTGTGGGCGAGCTGGATGATGGCGATTTCAACAGCGCCGCATAGCCCGGCCCCAAAGAGCGCCGGAAATGCTCGTCAATGTCACAAATAGAATCGGACTCTGCAAAAAATGATGATGATTGCTTGCATTAAAACTTGTCCGTCAACCAGATCGACAACGGCTGCAACTCACCCGCACTGCGTTGGTCATGCTCGGGATTGGAGTGCGAGCTGTGATGCACATGCTCCGGCTGCTCCCGTTTGGGCGGTGCTTGGGTAATAACGCTGGGCCGGCTGGCCGTGTAGCTGTGGCTGCTTGCTGCTCCTCCCGCCAGCGGCTCGCGGTACGGCGGAGGCGGTGAGGCGCGCTGATGCTTCACAGTGCTCGACGTCACCGACATATCAATGGGGCTGTCCATGTCCGGCTCCCTCTCTCTTTCCCTCGCCCGGTCACCGACAATGAAGAGACCGTTGCCAGCATCGCGAACATGATAATATTCGGCGGCGCCGGAACGTTGGCGACGCTCGCGACGCCACTTGGTGGTTGGAAGCTCTTTTGATGTCAGGCGCGTTTCTGAAATGTTTAATAAACTGGGCTTTAAAACGAGTTCTTGGCTTTGATTTAATAGTTGGGTTTGTATATTGATTTTGATATGTTTTCTTCTTTTTTCGCTAGCCGGAGCACAATAACATCGAATCCGATTTGAATTATGGCTCTGCGGCTAGCCAGATCTCGTTCTAATCCTTTGATTTGTTTCGCTGTGGTTTTCGTGTCGATCTGTCTTGAATTTTGATTATGAGCACGGCAATGAAGTGGGCGTAATGAATCACATGGAGTTGAGTTTGGGGGCTCTGCCGGCGTCGCAGTCACGTTCAAGTTTGTTGCCTAAGTCTTTCGTTTTTCAATGAATTTCCGCTCAAAGACTGAACGGAGCTTTCGAGTGCTCTGCCAACTCAAGCCACGGTGACAGACTCAGCTCCAGACCCGGTCAGGAGGTGGGCACAACAAAAATTATGCATAAAAGCCCAACAACGAAAAAAACAACAAGCAACAATAGCGAACACAAAGCCAGAAAAACACAATCGAAACTCCGAGTCACAATAAAAGTTGGTTAAGAAAACTAGTTTTTCTACGATCATGGGATTGTCTCAGTGTGTGCCAGTGTGTGTGTGTGTGTGAGTGGAGCGTTTACACTGAGCAAAACGCTGGGCGCTAGTCTGGACAAACGTGCCCGGCATCCCAATGGATATTGTTCGAGTTTGGCGTGGGAAGTCTAAGGTGGTGCGTGGGCATCAACCAGATTGGCAACAACCACCGAAAAGCGAATACCCTCACCTGGATACACTCGCTATGCGCGTGTGTAGGTGCACTATACTCCAGTTTACGTACAGTGCAGTTTCTGTTTCTGTTTCAATTTCAGATTTATTTCTTTTTTTTCTCTGCTTTTTTTTTTGTTTCTGTCCCTCAGGAAGTTACGAAGTTAAAAGAAAAAAAGTTCAGGCACTCCAAAGCGCGTTTTGGAGCCCAAAATTAAAGGGGCAGGCAAACCCGTCAAGCGACTTCTGCACATTTTGAGCAGCGGTGCCAGTTCTCCTCTTGGCCAAGGCGTCGAACGCATGAATGAATGAATGAATGAAGGAGTTGGCGGCGTTGGTGGAGGCGGCTTTGGCTGTGTCTCGGGCTCGGGCTGCGACTGCGGCTGCGGCTACGACTGTGGCGGAACCAGTTGTTGTGGTCCTGTTTTTGGCAACGTCACCGCTGGCTGCAATTTATTATTATTTTTTGCGCCTGCGTCACGAAAGGTGCCACAAACTGGTTGCTCTCCCTCGCCCGAGTTGCATGGAGTGGACCGAAAGCAAAACATGAAAACAGACGGACAACAACAACAACAATAAAAGCAATGGGACTGGCTTCTGTTGCAGCGGAAGATGATGGGGATGATGATAATAATAAAGAAACATTCAAATTTTATTGCACATTTCCGGTCGTCGCTCAAAGACAACTTTGTCCGGTTTTTTGCTGTGGGGGATCATCATTGGGGCTTTCTTTCTGGTGACCATATTCCGAGTTCTGTGTATCCAGTATTATTTATACATGATTGTATTCACAAGCATGTTGTTGTTTGCCTGCTTTTGTCGAGTTCTGTCGGTCTTTGCGCCAACCCCACTTCTCATCTGATCTTTAATCAAACGCAAGACACACACAGCTAAATAAATTCGACGACCTAAGCTAATTGGCAGCAATGGGGGGAAACTGCAAGTGCCTGATAATCTGTGGCCCTCCCTCAATCGAGCCAAGTCATTGCAAACTTTGCTTAATCACCCAAACAATCCGCCCGCAGAGGAGTTCGCATCAAGAATCGCCAACCAGTTCCACAGACCAAAAAGTCGAACAGTCGAACAGTCGATTTGGTCTACTCGCACTGCAAACAGCAATAGAAAAATAACATTTGTTGCTTATGCAAACACGTTTTTTGTAATTGTTGTTGTTGTTGTTATAAGTAGTTGTTGTTGCTGTAGCTTAAGTTTGTATACTTATTATTTTCATCGCCGCCGCTGACGGTGTCGTCGCAGGCGTTTCTTATTATTTTTATTATTTTTTCCGCCGGCTTGTGAGTCATTCTCGTGCCCGACTTGATTGCAAATCTGGTTTTAATATGTCAACAAATTAAAAAAAAAAAAAAAACAAGAAATTACGGCTATCTTTGTCAGGCCGAAGAACAAATACTCTGGTCGACACATCTGGCTTAAAAATGCGTTTATATATAGCTCTGTCTCCGGCGGATTTTTCGCATAGAAGTCATATGATATAGTAGACCGATTGACCGATTACGGTTTAGCAGATATTTTGGGGCATAGTGAATAACGGGAAGAGTTAAACTGAAGCTTTACAACTATATGATATAGTACTCCTATGTAATCCTTTACTTTCCGATAATAGCCACATGATATAGTGCACCGATTCGAATGACTCGAACATATGTGCAACAGAGAAAGGGAGCTTTGAACCGTTTCGTGGCGAAACTGAAACTTTTAACTAGCTTGCAGACAGACGGACATGACTAAGACAACCCGTCTATTACTGATCCGGCATGTACATATATCTATATGCTATATATATATCTAATTGTAAGGGTATCATAACCGAAACTGAAACAAAAACAAAGCTGAGCCGCGCAGAGTACAGCAGCCGACGCAGTTGGTTCGCATTTGTCCCGGCGTTCGTTTCACTTGGCAGCGACGTCAGCGGCGTCTGTGTTTGTGCCATGTAATTGAAAGCATTTGTGTGATTTGTGCAATGTGAGCAATTAGGTACAGTGGTGCATGGCAGAGCTGGCGACGATGACGCCGGCGGAAGCGGTCGGCAGCAGATCAGCAGAACGCCAATCGAAACGTGGCCAGCCACGAATGTCAGGCGTTGGCAAGCGTAGTAAAAGTGTTGCCAATTTCATTACCAATTTCGCGCTAATAGCCAAATGAAATGGGTCACTCCACATTCGCTTGCCAGCGTCGTCGTCATCAGCTTGCGTAACAGCTTGAGGCGACACGTTTTCATCAACTGCTGGTGACACCATCAATTGATCACACACGCACACACATCCACGAACACACGGGACGCATGAAGAGCACGTCCTAGCCACGCTTTGGCGAACGTAAACATTGGCAGATAAACAATATGAAAACTATAGACTCTGATCCCCATTCATTAAAGCGGGCACGTAGCTGCACGCTCTGCCAGCCTGACTGTCTGATTGTCTGACTGTGTCTGGGTGACCACCAGATCCCAGCGTGAAGCTAGCTAGTCCAGATATCGGACTTCACGTGAGCTACTCGTGCAAGTGGCCAGTCAACAAGTGCGCTGACTGGCAAGCGATATCCAAGTGCTGGTTACCCTGGTTCGTGCTGTATCCATCATTTGCGCCTAATACGGGCGAAAGACGGAACGATTCTTTCACAAATTTCTCTACTTTTCCCTGTCGCCGTCTCGTATTTCAAAAGAAACTCGTATGTGACAAAATTTGATTTTTGGCAAACGTTGCTGGAGGTCAGCGCGATTTCTTCTAAATCTCTTATATAATATTCCCCTTGAAACACGAACCTTTTTGCAACTGCTGCTGCTGCTGCTGCTGCTGTTGCTGCTGCTGCTGATGCTGCTTGCAGAGCTGATGATGCATGGCCGCTGCCTGCTGCAGATCCCGCCACGGCTGCCAGAGCAAACTGTTGGCCATGTTGGAGTTGTTCGGCTGCAGCGATCCAGTTAATGGCTGCTGATGTGCAGCTCCCGGCAGCTGCTGCTGCTGATAAAACAGTGGCGACTGCGCCGGCAACTCAGCCTGGCCCTGCTGAAAGGCAGCCGCCGCGAATCTCTGCTGCAGCTGTTGTTGCGTGGCCGCAAGGGCCGCTGCGTGCGCAAAGCTGGCCGGGAAGTGGCGCGTCGAGGATAAGGCAGCTGTGGCGGCAGCGGCAGCCTCCCTGGTTACCGCCGTGGGCGAGCTAGCCGTTGATGATGCAGCAGATGATGATGAAGCACTCGCCGAGGCGGAGGCCGATCTGCCGAGGGAAGACTGCTTTGAGACAGCTGCCAGTCGCTCCATTTCCATGATGCGATTGTAATAGCTCTGCTGCTCGAAGGCGTTCAATATACACAGATATTCCATTGCTATCAGTTAGTTATCTCTTGCGTGTCTTTATGTATACTCAGTTCATTTGGCGGTGTCTTCAGTACATACGCAAGGCGGATCACGTTACGTGCTGACGCAGCTCGCGGTGCTCTGTAGAGATCTCTTTTCGGGTTTCACTTGATGTCCTGGGCCCAGTCGACCACAAGCACAATCACAACACAATAACAATAATAATTATTTTAATCACAATCCCATTGGAGACCAGCTCTGTATCTCACCCACGACTCGAGTCGGAGTCGGAGCGCCCGATTAACCGAACGGAGCAGCAGCTGGAGCTAATTTCGCTGACGTCTGCTCTGTCGTTTGACGATCGACGATCGACGTTCGACGGAAAGAGGCGCGTTTTTATTATTATTATTTTATTTTTTTTTTTTTTTGCTTTTGATTTTTGTAAGTGACTTTTAGCTTACTTTTTCCGCTTTACGTTTTCGCTCGCTTTATTGTTGCTTTAGTTTATGATTACTTTTTGCGCTCTGTGTGCCGCTTCAGATACAGATACACGCACACACACTCACACACACGCACTAATACAGTAGCAGACAGCGACTGTCGCTGCTATAGATACAGATACGATCTGTATTTGTCGTGTTGCGCGACTTGGCGACTCGGTCTCGGGTTACAATCCAGGTCCCCGTTCCCGTACCCGTGCCCGTGCTCCCGTTCCAATCTCCGTTTTCGTCACAGTCTCTGCCACTGCTGCAGCAACGGCGACGGCAACGGCGGCGCTTCAAGTCGACATTTAGCGAAATATAAATAGCACGCTTTTTATATGTTTTTCTGAGTAATAATTTGCATAGAAATCGACGGCGGCGGCGGCGGCGACGACGATTCGCTCGCTGAACTTGAGCGCCAGTTTCGCTTTCAGCTCTGGCTGCCGATACGAGCACGACGACCAAACACGACGAGTACGATGAATGTGGCTTAAGTTTCTGCTGCTGCTTCTTCTTCTTCGTCTTCTTTTTATTCAGCTGTACTCGAGCTTTGGCTCTGGGTCTGCCTCTGCCTCGCGCTCAGCTCTTTGTGGCTCGACGGACAAACTTGAACTGATCGCCAGACGGCGACAGCGACAGCGACGGCGAGTGCGATTCCGATTGCGAGTGCGACTTAAAGACGAAGAGCTTTCGGGCTCGCAAAGCTTTGTCGTCGTCGCTCAACACTCATGCTCGTTCGCTTACGGGACGTTCTTGTTGTTGTTTATCTTATGTTTTTGCTGTTATTGTTGTTTTTGCTGTGTTGTTTTTGTAATCTGTGGCTACGTCGTGACTTCGTCTCACCGCCCAAGCTCGGCGCGTCCCGTGTAGACTTCTGGCCTTAAAAGCCATTTGCACTTGCGACAGTTGGCACTCATATTGTTTTTGTTGTTGTTTACGTTTACGTTTACGTTGTTATTTCTTTTTATTATTTTGCTTTTTACCAATTTCCGTTTTGGCTATTGACGGTTGGCTGCGATTGTTTCGCTAGCTGCTTTCTTTGGACTTGGTTTCGATTGGGCATTGCGATTTTGTAATTGAAAACAACTAAGCGGGAAAGGAGACAGTGAACGCCACTTATCCACAGGATGACAGCTGCCGCACCCCGCTCCTCTTTGCCCTTTTACCCAGCACGCGCAGATCATTTGCGAAACAGGGTAACTATGACTACGTTGCACTCATGGCTTGCCGTTGTTTGTCTTCGGCGTTGGGTTGGGCCGGAGTCGAGTCGAGTCGTTGTTGGACAGCGCTGTCCCAGCGCAGTGCGTGGGCGATTTTTGGGCTCGATCAATGCTTAAAGCTTATTATGTTTTATACACACCCCCACAAAGATTCTCATTTGCGAAATAACTTTGACTGAGTCTTTGCAAAAAAAAAACACATATTTTGAATTTGATTTTCCAACAACAAATTTTCAATTATATATGTATGTATATGTATTTTATTTTTGCTACGTTTGCAGCGGTCAGCTTTTCATCAATTTGGCAAAATAAAGTTTTTCATTTCTCAAAGCGACTCATTTGTCGCTTGTTGCTGCTTTCTCGCCTTACGACCCCCTGAAAAAGTAACGTAAACTGTTTCGCAGCCTCTTTAAAGAGCATTACATTTCTTTGGACACATCAAAATAACATTTATACAACATAACTCAGCTCAGTGTTAAATTGAGCATTGTGGTGGGCCTTCTATTTTGGCACCGCAAGCCGAATTTTTTAAGCGGGTACTCACCTAAATATGTATGTTGTATGTATGTATGTATGTATGGGTGTACATATATACGCCAGCGCACATGTACATGCATTCATATTAATGTGTTTGTATGGGCTGCAAACTCGCTTGCGAAAATGACAACAAAATGAAACAAACAATAGGTCGGCAGTACAACCACAATAGCGACAACAACAGCAACAACAGCAATAGCAAAAGCAACAACAAACGCAGCAATACAACTAAAAAGTGACTGTTGTCTGTTCGCTGTGTTGGCTTGTTGTTATTGCTATCGTTGTTGTTGTTGTTGTTGTTGTTGTTGGAGCTGTTGTTATTGCTGCGGCACGTTGTGCTGGGGCTTGGCGCTGTCTGTGATTAAAGGCGGCCATTACTGCAACCAGAAGGAGTAGCAACAGCAACAGTAACAGCAACAGCAACAGCAACAAAAACAACAGCAACAGCAACAAAAACAACAGCAGCAGCAGAAAACAGAGAGCAACAACAAACAACAACATGAAGCAAACTCGTTTTTAATTCAATAGCAGGCCCATGAAATTTTACGCCCGATTTGTAGCACAACTACTACTGTTGCCCCAGCCCCAACAACAACAATAACAGCAACATCAATAGCAACAGCAGTAGCTGCAACAGGAATCGAAACGGTCCAATACTTGTAGAGAATCGATTCCAGCTAACGTGTGTGCGCCTGTTGCAACTTGCAAGCTCAGCTGTTGGCCTGATGATTGGCTCTTGCAATCTGCGGATTCAACGATTTCTTGATCTTTTCATATCTCGATCAATACTTGGCAGCTATTTGTTAATTTGCGTTAAAACAAAAAACAAAAAAAAACACGAAAAAAAAAAAACAAAAACAAAGTGCAATTTTCTGTTGCGTAGCGCGTCAAATCACAATTAAGCAAAGCTCACAGCCGAATTATGGACTGAATACCTGACTGACGATTCCGACGACCGACAGACAGACAGACCGACAGACCGACAGACCGTCCGACTTGTTGGCTAGCTGCCCCGACTGACTGATTGACTTGGCTGACAATCGGCACAGCGCCTCGTGGCTGGCTCAGAGACATTTTGCCCTGTTGCTTACTCATCAACGGCACGATTTTTTGTTGCCTCCTCCTCCTCTGCTGCTGCTTCTTCTTCCACTGTTGCTTCTTCTTCATTGAGTTTTTTAACTTGTGCGAAAAGTTTTAGTGTAGCGTGAAACATGCGCACGCATGCGCAACGAGGTCAATCGAAAGGCAATCATGCCAGCAACAACAACAACAACAACAACAGGCGCACAACAACAATTGCAAATTACAGCAACCCAAAATGTTGTACACAACAACAACAACAACAACAAGCACAAAAAGTCCAAACAGTTCCTACTTTGGTGCATACATTGTTTACTTGACCCATGTGGCAGAGCTAAGAGGGATTCGGCAATCTGTATCTGTATCTAACTGAACGAGAAAACTAATGCATTGGTTGGATAAACGGATAACATATTGATGTAACAAGCAGAAGGAAGCATATTGATCGATCAAGAGTATAACAAGTCATCAAGTCATCAAGAGTAAAACAAGTAGAAGTTCTCTAGCCGGGACTGCCCGACTAGCAGTTATCCTAAAGCCAGCGTCGTATAGGGTGTATATTATGTTTCCTATCCTCAGCAGTTCAGGTGTTGGGATCACAGTAAAGCTTTTAAATGTTAACGTTTAATCTTTATTAAGAAACCAAATATGTTTTATTACAAAAACTTAGTGACAGGCAGGCAATGCCGCACTTATGCAAAGTCTTACCTGCAAATCTGAGTAATTGCTAGAGACAGAAACTTATAGACCAAGTTTCGATAATTTTTAAAGCCTCGCTATTTGGTCCGATATTTAAGTGCAGAAAATATCAGAAAGATCGAAGTGTAATGCTGCTCAAAGTGGAATTTCGGCTAAAAGCATCCATGGATACTCTTCCTTAGCATCAAGAGCCAAGTCGATTAGGACATGTTTCTCCGTAACGAGTCGGTCTAAGTGCTAGACACAAAAGTTGTTCTATATATTTCTTAGCCTTGAAATGATATAGGTCCGAGTTAATGAGCATATTACCAATTTTTGTATATCTTAAACAACGCACGACTATTTAACTGCTTGAATTAATCGCCTAACTCCCCAGAGAACAGGCTAGTCTAATGATAATCCATTTGAATACCCTATAATCTACATCGTCCCCCTCTACAATGTCCCCTTCTAGATTTGTGCTTAGTCAACCTGAGCAGCAATTCAATATTACGCCATTCTTCAGTTTGCATTTGGTGCCGCAAACCCGGAAAATGCTGGTCTAATTGTTGGCTAACGATGTATGCACTTTTTATTTAGAAATCAGTGCAGAAATTTGAGAGTTCTCACTGAGCAGCGACAGCAACAACAAGAACGACAACAACAACAACAATATCAGCAAGACGAGCAACAAGTGGGTCAAGTAGTTATAGTTTTGGGCACGGAAGTGTTTATGGCAAGTCAATAAAATTTCTTACTAATGCAAAAATTGAACACAAAAATAGCAGATTATCTGGGTTTAGGTTTTTTAGATTTGAATCGGAATAAAGTTGTATATTAAACATGACAGTGTTTGCTCCCAAATTGAAAGTCTTTATTTCTAAACAAATCCTGTTTCCGGAAGCACTTTTTTGCATACATTGTATACAAAGCAAGGGAATAGCATGACTAGAAGTTACTCTATTCCAGCGCCGAGATGTCGTTTAAGCATTCAATTGTCTTTTAAACATACAAGCCCAACAACAAGCATCGTAGAATGTGCAGCCTCTTCTCCCTTCACTATAGGAAATGAATTCATGATTTCATCGGCATTTAAAGTCCGATCTTTTTTACATTTTCTGAGCTTCGATATAGAACGCCTGCCTAATCTTACAATTCAATTGCCTTGCTGGCAGGTTTCCAACGAATTAAATATTTTGAATATGTGTGAAAAGCAATATCAAAGACGTATTAAAATTGGCGTCTCTTACAGTTTTCCAACTAGACGAATTTGCCCAAGCACAGGAGGTTGTCTTCTGGTTGAATACATCTTAATTGACTTCCGCCTCGCATATACCTCATTCCGTGTCCTTTTTATTAATATTCAATGGCAACAATTAATGTTGTATATGCTTAACATTGGGTATTAAAAGATCTAGGTACCTCGGGGATTTTGAAATCTCTATTTCGAATATTGATCTAATTAAAACGAACAACAATAACAATCGCTAAATCGAGCATCTATCTTAAATAAAACGGAAAACAATGACAATATCAATATGTTATGTTCAAAACGTCTAATGATGATTTTCTGGAAGTTCTAATTTCCGAGCGAACACTGTTTGCCGCAGAAAGGCACACACAAATCAGGAGAAACCAGTTCAAAATTTAAATAAAACACGAGCGTGCGCGCAGTTTGAAAACCTGTTTGGCTATTGGCTAAAAGTAACAACAACAACAACAACAACAGAAAGAGAAACAACAACAAGAGCTTAAACATAATGAACACGCTGGCAACAGCATAGGAACAATAACATAAATATTGTTGTCATTCTAAAATATCATCCGGCATTAAATCTAGCGTGAGAAAAAATCAATACAAATTTGCCCAAATTTCGAATGCAAATGCTGCCAAATTACGAGAAATTTCCAGAGGAGCACAAAACATGCATAATAAAAGTGAGATATGTCCAAAATCGATGTCGAAACCAAATTTGTGGCAATAGGCAAATAGTCAAATGTTAAAAAAGCAGAAAGAAAAAAAAGAAAAAAAAACAGCAGCATTGAGAGCAAAAAGAAAGGCAGAGGCCAGAGCCAGAGCCAGAGCCAGACGGTCATCCAGCTAGAAGCTGTTTACGGTCGAGACCAGACCAGTTTCTTTCATCTGGTCGAGAATCACGGCTAGTTTGCGTGCCGTTTGGCCAGTAAAAGGAAGAGAGTGTTTGCCACTGCCAACTGGCAATGGGAAAATTGAAAGGCCATGTAAATTACTTGATGAGCTGACGTATCCAGCTGTGCCTGGTGAGCGCTCACCTAGCCTCAAAACTGCCACAAATTTTATAAATTTATTTCGTTTTTTTTTTTTTGTCTTGATTTGTTCAAGCCACACAATTGCTGTAACGACTATTTGTTTACACACACACACACACAGAAACGATCAGCTGACAGCTGTCTAGGCTCTATTCTGAAATCTCAGCCACAGTTTGCCGGCAGTTTAATTAACGGCCTGGAGACAATCGACCCGCTTTTGCTTGGCTTGCATTGGCCACGTGTGATTTATGAAGAACAAATGCGTGCGCCTCGCGCGTTTGTTTCGATTATGACAAAATTCATTAATCATGGCCAGGTTAACGACATTTTGCATATACAATTTGGCTGATCAATCACCCAATGTGACGACATCCAACGAACCAAGTTCTGCGCTAGCCAAAGGGCCCGTTTGGCAGCCTATTGGCCAAGAGTACAGAGCACAAATAAATGCTGACATGTGACAAAGGTCTGCTCGCGTTTAAAAATACACAAACAAAACGCGCGCGCATATTATCCAATTGTTTTTCAAAATCTACACATATTTGTTTATGGAATTTTGTTATTGTCGGACTTTCACATATATGTATATATATATATTTTTTCAGCACACATATTTAATAAATACATTCCGCTTGGCGTTGACAGCTGAACCTATTTGTATGTATTTGTGCATTTGGCTAAGGAATTTGTCAAATATGTATGGAGCATGTTGATAAAGACATCTCGAATGGGCAGCGACGCAATGGCAAATGTAAACTAACAAAACAAGTGAGCTGTCTAGCCAATATGACCGACTAGCAGATACCCCAGCTTCCCTTCAGTTAAACTTACAGAAAAGCACACATGACGAACGCGCCACTTTAGAAAAGACAGTTTTGATTAACTTCGATCTTAAAACTTTTATGAAATTCTCAGGGCACATATATACATTTGTTTTTCAATTTCAATCATTATTTACAATCTGGCGATAAAAAGTAAATTATATGAGGGCACATATATGGCATCTAAATGCGTGTAAATATCAAAGCGCACGACTATGCCTCTGAGAATCAGTTTTTTAAGACATTTGGGGAAAACAGGATTAGTTATGGATCTATATACGATAGGCAATACGAAATCCTACCTATCAAACGGAGATGTTACATACATAGGCACAAAACTGAACTACCCTTGTTATCCATTTGCAATGAGTACAGGGTATAATAAGCCGCTGGACTGCGCGTTCGATAGTGGGTGGCGTTGAAATGGTGTGCTTTATCACGGCACATACCCCCAGCTTTCGATTTGCATATATATATATGTGTGTACATTGGTAAACCACTTGACTACATATGCTATTTACTGCTCTTTAAGGGAAGCCGCAAAACACTTGATAGTAGTTAAAATTTATACGTACAGTGGCTGCCAAATGAAGCAATTATGCAGTCACTAAATTATTATTATTAATTGCAAATACATGTACATATGCACATGCTCAAGCCAAACCGTTAGCATTTGCATTTCTTTGGCATGTCACGCGTTCAAAAGAAGGGGAGCGCGAGAGGTGCGATACAATAAATTCAAATTGCAAATACGTACAAACATATGCAAACTATCTGTATTTATGTGTGTGTGTCGCCAATACAAATATGTGCAATACTTGCACACATCGAACTGTACATGTATGCTTGTATACGTATTAAACTATGTAAGAGTACATAGCACATTAACCGTACGATTCGTGCTCGTCTCGACGTCAACTATTGATAACGCCCGCACGCGGGGCACAGAGAGCTTGCGTCGCTGTCGCCGCCGACGTCGACGTCGTTTTCAAAAATGCGGCATTTGACACATTTATGAAAATCGGAATCGGAATGCGCCGCAAACTCATTTTATTGGAATGTTTTATTTTCAGTTCGCTCGTGATACGCAATAAATGTGCGTATATGCGTGTCTGCGTGTGCATTTGCTTATATGTATATGTACACACATCTGCACATACATGCACATGCATATGTATGCATGGATCGCAGCAGAAGAAACAAATATCTTGGAGTTTTAGTTGCGACACATGCACTTCAGCTGAGCATGCCAAAGGCTATGATTCATGCCGCAGGCAAAGAGAGCAATGGCGATAAACTACAACTTGGTCTCGGCCCAAGACACCGCCACCTAATGGGCACTACCTACATACATAATATATGTATGTATATACAAATGTACATATGAACATTGTTGGGGAAACACAAAAGTGTCAGCCGAGAATAACATTGTTGAAATACTTTCAAGTTTTTAGGACGCTGGTGCAAAGGTGAAACCCATAAAGACACAAGGAGTACAGACGTAGCCAGAATATAAACACAAAAAAAAAAATAACAAGAACAGATGTCAGTCGGTGTCAACGTCGGAACGTCCATGAAACTAACATCATCAAATTGTCAGCGATGTTGTTACTGTTTATACGGAATTGGTTAATGGCAGCCCGTCGAGATATTAGCGATAACTAAATTACCAGTTGACCAAATGTCAGTGGAGTACTCACCGCTCGCATTGTTTTGCACCATGGTGGCTGCTCGAGAGAGAACGTCCAGCGCCGATTCCATTTTGTAGCGGGATTGCTCGGGATGAACTGCGTGCGGACTTGTGCCTATGGCCGTGGATATGGACTGCGCTGTCGTTACGATCTGCACTGCATGAGTTTCACACTAAAAATACGAAAACACAACCAAAAAAAAAATTGACCAAGGCACAAACTGGATATATGTACATACATAGGCATTACAAAACCATATCCAAGACTGTATGCATGCACACATACATATGTACAAACATACATGTATGTATGTAGGTTTTGTATGCATGTATGTAAATGGAACGCAAAACTTAACAAAGACTGACGTCGCTGGTGCTGCTGACTGACTAAAACAAGTAAGGCGAAATCCTGCTGGCTGCAAACAGTTTTCAGTTTTCAGTTTTCATCGCTACATCGTTATAGCCATGCCATGGACACGGCTCGGCGTTGGCGCGGACTGGGGGTGGAGGGCCCAAACACGATGCAGTTGGGACAGGTTTGAAGACAGCAGCAACAGCGTGAGCCATCGCAGCCGAAATTTGGCAATGACCAAGTACAGCAGCAGAGCGCGGTCACAGCACACGAAACCGAAACGGATTTACCAAAATGCCATATTGTTGCCAGGCATGCCAGCAGCAGCAGTTTTTTTTTGGCTGGTTTGCTTGTCGTACAATTTTACCTTTGCTTGAGCTCCTCCAAATTGTTATCGTTGGTTCAATATAATTGTTGTTTTCGAAACGTTCCGTCCTTGCTTTTGTTTTGGTGTACGATTGTGGCGAATATTCAAATATATTTCTGAGATCTATGTAAGCCACTCGCCAGCAGAGGGTTTCCTAACTTTTACGAATTTTATTGAATGCTGTTTAACTCCACCATGAAATACACGAAAAACAACACACTGCAGTGCTGGAAAACATTAGTTGTGTGCGTTACGTTACTCATTTTTTCGTCAGCTTTCTCCAATTGCGCTACGTTCTCCTATTGCGTTGAAGAGTGCTCAGTTTTGCGTTTACGTTACTGACCTGACTTTTTCGCTTTAACGGTGTCAAGATTCTGCTTTTTGTCTCTACTGAATTAAAACACAAACATTTCGACAAATTCACAAAGCAAACATACAACACAATCAAATATATACACTTTTTTTAAAAACATATTTACCCGAACTATGTCTGCAAAGGATTTAACATTTGGCACACAATGGTAATTAAACACTGCATCAAAACAGCATAAACTGTAAATCAACCGTTTAAATGCAGGGATGATTAAGAGTTCATTCTTTAGTTCGACTTAACACTAAATCAGTTACTCCTTGAATAAACCGTTTTTTTTTTTTTTTATTTCTTTACAATAAAATGTTTGCAGAAGTTAAAAATGAAATGCAAATTAGATTATTCGAAGGAAATACGTTGGGAGCGAAATTTTCTAAAGGTATCGTATAATCACATTGAACTAATGACCTACTATCTACATATATATACCGAAATACTGACAAAAATCACAGAAAAAGTGCAAGGAGGTGGGTCTAGAAAAAGAGTTTACTGCATACCAGATGCGTCTAAGCGCCAACTACGTCGGTGTCTTTGTGCTGCTTCACCTGGCTTTCACGATACTCCACTGCGTTATGTTACTGACAACGTGCGAGGTGGATATATTTTAGCATTTGATAACCATAATCATCATTTGTCGTCTGCCTACACAGGACAGGGATAAAATTTATATAGATGTCGGCTGCTATACGCTGTCTACCGTGCTCGTCACTCTAGTCCTGTGGCCCAGCGCCAACCCAATATGTATGCCGAAACTTAGATATAAAATGTATTTGACCTCGGTGCTTGCTGTGGTATTTATGGTTATAACTGGTTGGTGTCTACTTATTTTTGTACCTATTACTTTCTTGGACTACATTCATATTTTTACAGATCTATTGCTTAACATTTACCATTACTACATGGACGACTGGATTATAGGAAGCTTTTTTGACACATATACTCTCTTTACGATCTATATGTTTCTTCCGATTCCGTATATTTTGCCGCCGCTATTGCTTGGAATTTCGGTGTCCGTCATTTACACATCCTATTTTGTTTTATATTTAGCTTCTAAGCACCGATATGAGATATCGAACGTGACGCACCTTAACTATATGTCGGTGGAAATTTCGCATCATTTCTGTGTAAATTTGTATGGTGCGTTTTTTCGCATAATGCGCGAGATAATCGTGCGCTCCTCGTTCCTTGATCGACATCAGTATGTGATGGAGGACATTTGGCTGAGGAGCGCACGAGAGCAGGAAAAAGTGTTTCTGCATAGTATATTGCCGCCGCAAATATCACAACCGATTCAAGATGATATTCGCAATCGGATTAAGTTCTCTGAAAAGCATCGCATTACACCTATCAACATCAGAAGAGATCGCATTATGGCCATTCAGATTCATCCCGATGTCAGTATTCTGTATGCAGATATAGTCAACTACACCTATCTGACCACAACTCTAACGGTTAAGAAGCTAATTTCCCTACTCCACGAATTGTATGCCAGATTCGATCTGGCCGCCTCTCGTTACACGGTTCAACGCATCAAATTCTTGGGCGACTGCTACTATTGTGTGGCGGGTCTGACAAGACCAGATCCCGACCATGCCAAATGCTGTCTCGATTTTGGGCTCTGTATGATCGATAACATTCGCGAAGTGCGGTTAGTGTCACACAAGACGATCCGATATATCTATTAAATCTATTTAACATAACAACACTTCCAACCCGTTTAGAGCCAAGGAAAATCTGGACATAGACATACGCGTTGGTGTCCATTCAGGAGCTCTGTGTGCTGGCGTCCTTGGGGCAGCAAAGTTGCAATATGACATTTGGGGTAGGTAGTCGTAGTATTTAAGATTTCTTTTTGCATATGGAATACATATACTTAAAAGTATAGCACACTGTTATGAATTATATTAGGCTCGGATGTGGTTATTGCCAATCGATTAGAGGGAACCGGAGTGCCCGGTCATATTCATACTAGCGAAAGAACTCTCCAAATGATTATAGAGCCTATATATGAGGTGAAACCCGGTACCGAAAAGGCCCGTAATGACCCCTTCCTTCAAAAGCACAACGTTATCACATATCTCATTCCCCCCAATGTAAGAACAAGGACCATAACCAATCTGGATATTGAACACATCAAAATAATTGACTCTGAAACTAACCTGAAGCAGCAATCTTCGATTGGACTAGAGTTGCGTGAAGAGTTTAAAAAGATGCCGGTCGGTCCCATAAGGTAAGCGTCGATGGGACTAACCCGGTGTCAACAATTTCAGTTAATCCTCATTTATCTGATAGCCTTAAGAAGAAGAACTTTAAGGAACTGTTCCACTTGTGGAGAAAAGACAGGGACAAGGAACGGATTCGAACACGTCCAGTAATCGGCATTTATCTACTGCATTTTCGCGATCCACGCCTTGAATATAGTTATATGCACCAGCCCGATTACATGCTAAAATACAGTATACTTTTAGCCTGGGTATTTGGCCTCAATCTGTGCTACATACAATATGTCCATGACAGCGGACTGGTCAAGAGTGGCGTGATTGTGGACATTTTTGTGATGCTGAGCTTAACCGTTTTACTTTTGTTAACCTGGTATAAGAAGCTCTGCTTTTTGCGATATTCAACTCAAGATCACGAGTACTCCCGCATAAGTTGCTGTCTATTCCGAGTTGCGGAAAGTATTCAGCGCAGTCTCATCAAACGTATCGGCATCTACATGTACACCATAATATCTTACTTTTGCATTATAACCGTCATGCTGGTGGGTATCATATCTGCGACTTTAAGTAGATCTCCAACTTTATATTGCTATTCTAATTAGATGGACTGTGATAAGGAGGAGTACGAGGTGGTGCATATTGAGAGCAAGCTGTACCATTACGAGCCAGATATGAATATGTGCTTTCATCCGTGGCTTCTAACCAACATGGTGTGCCTCATAATTGGGATGAGCCTAATCTTTACACGCATCCCCTTCATGATGAAAGTTGTGGTTAGCACATTAGAGGCGATCACCTATATGGTTATTCTGTTCTTTCAGTTTGAGTATATAGTTCATCATAGTCTCACAACTAATCCCTATTTCGAAGCCGAATATGCGCACTGTTTGTTGGTCATAATTACTCTGCTGAGTCTATATTTCAAGGAGCGACAGACCGAGTTTAATAACAAGATCAACTACAAGTAAGTGAATGCCTAACACAAAGCCAACAGCTTGTACATTTTGTTTTAATTATTTAGATGGAGAGAGGAGCTGTTAAAGAAACAGCACGATGCCTATATTGCGGATCAGTCCATCACTATTCTATTGCACAATATTTTGCCAGCCCATGTCGGTAGGACTGTTGTTGAACTGATATTCAAATTTGTTTACTCATTGAACACATTCTATAATTGTATGCAGCCAATGTGTATCTGACCTCGCTAGCCAAGCACGAGCTATACTATGAAGACTACGCAATGGTGGCTGTCATGTTCGCGTCCCTGCACAATTTTGAATTGGATTTGCCCAACTTGCGGGTTCTCAACGAGATCATATCCGAATTTGACCGAATCGTAAGAGCCACGAGGCCTGTGCAATTTGCCAACGCTTATTTCTTTGCTGTAGTTGTCATATTATAGGGACGATTATCTAGTGGAAAAGATCAAAATTGTGGGCTGCACATATATGGCAGCCTGTGGCCTAGATTTGCGTTTCTCCTCAGTCATAAGCCAACAGAGGTCTACACACGAATCTGTTATCCAGGAGGGTGAGCGATTGGGCTAACAGCTCTACTGATAATGTATGTGTCTGTCCTGTATTGCAGTCCTGCGTGCTCGTCGCTCAATTTCGGTACTCCGCAAGGATAACTATGCGTCGAGCGAGAAAAAGGAGGAAGTGGTCTTCGTGCTAACCACCTTTGCGTTGGACCTGATGCGCACCCTGTGGACGTGCAACAATGAGTATAGGAATGTACCAGTGGATCGTGATGTATTCACTGCTGATATGAGCATTGGCATATCAAGCGGCGAGGTGATGGCCGGCGTTGTGGGTGCCTCCCAGGTGCACTACGATATTTGGGGAAACGCGGTGAACATGGCCTCACGTATGGACTCCACGGGTCTCGCTGGGCAAATCCAGGTGACCGAAGAGACCGCCGAAATGCTGCGCAAATATGGCTTAGAGTGTAACTACCGCGGCATGACTTTCGTCAAGGGGCGTGGCATACTGCCAACCTACTTTGTGGGCATCGACGAGAACTATGAGTTCAAGTACATTTATGAGAGCGGTCGTCAGAATCTGTCAGACGATAGTGACAGCCATGGATCATCCGAAATTAATGCGTGATGAGATTCGTTTTATGCTCATTTTGGAACGCATTCTATCCCTGTTGGGAAATGTTGGTTCAAGGTGGTAATAGCGAAAGTTTCATTTTCACCCGAGCACAAAATTATTTTATTTCTGATCTTTCTCGTTAGAATAACGGGTAAATTTTAATGCCACAATTGGAATGAATTTCTAATGGCTAAAAATTGCATGTATTTTGTGGTAAGGAAGAAGAAAATTGTATGATGAAAATAAACTTGATTTTAACTACATCATCTTTCCTAACATAAAAGCGATTCTCAAAGCTTTGCATAAAAAAATAGACACTGATAGATTTAATTTAAATTTCCCGAGCAGCACTAGTGGAAAATCGGCGCCAAGAATAAACATTGGCGCGAAAGCAAAAGCTGTGAAAACGGTTTCCTATACCCACTTAATAAATAAAGTTTGCTCGCAGAATATATAATGTTTAGGGGCACTTTCAACATTTTAAGTTATTTAAAAATAGTATTTAATTAGTAAAACTTAAAATGCAGAAAACTTACAATGTTCTCCAATGGAATGTAAGCAAAAACAAAGTGTGGTCGACTAATTTTCTTCGAGGTGAACGGTCACACAAGTAAGAAAAACGAAATCATTTTTATAGATATGTGACAACCCTAGTGGCTATTATGGCCACTGGCCATATGGCTGATGCCTAGCTCGGCTGCAACTACTGCGGCAATTTTTAGTGCCAACGTGAACACCGAACACAGATCATCGTTGAGTGAGTCTTTTCTAGTATTTTTTATTTTGCCATAATGGAAGTTTTAACAGAATTGACGTTAAAATGTATTATACCCATTTAAAATTAGACATTTGACGGTTTAATATGTAACAGCATTATTACCAGGCATTCTGTTTAATAATATATGCATGCTGTTTGCAGCCACTTTTTCATGTCTTAATACATTTTCCATAGATTTGAAGGAAAAGCCAACGGCATAAATCGACACCTTCCTAATCGAAAATTCAAAAAATCGTTATTATCGATATTATATCAACAAAACCTACGTAAATGTGTTTATGTGTGTGTCTCTGCTGCATTCGATGTGCATTTAATTAAAACTCCATTCAAGTGAGAAAATTGCATTTTTGGGGCGTTGGCTTTACTAAAATTGCCGGTGACAGCACCAAAAAAGGTGCACGAGTGAAAGCTTGTGAAGACTTTTGGAAGTTCGATTTATCGAATTTTGCGGCTTTGTTCAAGGTCGTTGGCATTGGTTGCCGACGGGTGAACGGAGATTTACACACATTCAATCGCGAGCACGCAAGGAGAAAATGGCAATCAGCTTCGAGAAACATCGGGCGCAAATTGTGGGTGCCTGGAAGGATGTGCTGGACGACAAGAGCAGCACCAACTGGGCGCTATTTGGCTATGAAGGCCAGACGAACGAACTGAAGCTGGTCGGTAAAGGAGACGGCGGCGTAGACGAGCTAAGCGAGGACCTCAATAGCGGCAAAATTATGTACGCTTTTTTGCAAATCGAAGACCCAAAAACTGGCCTCAATAAGTACCTGCTCGTCAACTGGCAGGTGAGTCAGTGTGCTGTTATTCTTTCATTCTTGTTATCTTATCTAACTATTCACCGTTCCACCTTGAAGGGCGAAGGCGCACCAGTGCTACGCAAGGGCACCTGCGCAAACCATATTCATGACGTGGGCAAACTTCTCTCCGGTGCCCATTTGACAATCAATGCACGTAATGAGGATGACATCGATATCGAGCGTTTGCTTAAGAAGTTGAGCACGGTTAGCTCCGCATACAGTTTTAAGGAGCCGCGTGGAGCCATGGAGGAGCAAAAGGCGCCAGTTGGCACAAACTATACTCGGGTTATTCCCACAAAGGAGCTCAACGCGAGTGTCATGCAGGACTTCTGGAAGAAGGAGGAAGCTGAGGAGAAGCATCGCATTGGGGCTGAAAAGGAAGCCAAACGCTTAGAGCTTCTGAAGCTCGAGCAGGAGCAGCGCGCCCGCGAAGAAAAGGAGCATAAGGAGCGCGAAAAGCTGGTCATAAGCACGACAAAACTACAGCCGGCTCATGTGCCCATTAAAACGTAAATATACACACATTGACATTCTGTTGAGGGCTTGTCACATAACCTCATACCGAATTTATAGCTCGCCGCAACCATTGAGTCCTGAGAAAACATCTGCAACTTTTGCGAATAATCTAACCGACGCGGAGCGTATGCGCCAGGCGCGGAATCAGGAGGCACGCGAGTTGATCGGCTCACGGGTGGGTGCTGCCAAGGCAATGTTCACCAAGCACACCAGCGAGGGCCAGTTGCAATCCAAGTAAGCTCGTGGACATGGTCTGCATTCTTGTTACTTATTGTACGAAGTTTCAGGCTCAATACACAACCGCCGGCGAAGCCCGCCCGAAATTCTATTGCACAGCGTATAAACGTATTCAATCACAATCAGACCCAGGATTCAGAGGCCACCTTGCCTCCACAGTCTGTTTCGCCTATTAATCCTCCAGTGGCCGCCGTATCTTCCGAGGCCGACAAGGCGCCAGTTGTGACCGAGGTGAATTCCGTTGAAACTATAAACGAGGAGGACCTGCAGCAAACTGAGGACCTACCACTGGCTCATGAGAGTGAGCAGTTCTCCACCATCAAACGATCGCCGCACAGTAAAACAAACTCGGTTCAATCACAGTCACCGGATGAGACGACGACATCGTCAAATGAGACCGACACGGCTGTCTACAAGGAGGAAGAGGTGCGCACCAAAGTATCAGTCACAGTGCAGCAGTCCCAATCGGTTAAGACATCTGGCCTAAGTACACTGGAACGTAATGCATGTAAGTTCTCGAAATAAGTATCATACGTTGATATTAATCTATTTCGTTATATTTGCTCACTATAAGTGACCGATCTGGTCAATGAGGATGACTTCATATGCCAGGAGAGCCTGGGCGACTTGGGTCTACGTGCCCGTGCCTTGTATGACTATCAGGCAGCTGATGAATCAGAAATAACGTTTGATCCCGGCGATGTTATAACGCACATCGATCAAATTGACGAGGGCTGGTGGCAGGGATTGGGCCCTGATGGAACCTATGGACTGTTTCCGGCAAACTATGTCGAAATCATCAACTAAAACCACACTTAGTAGCATTAACAATACAATGCAAATCCGTATCTAATATGGCAACTGCAGAGCAGCTACATAAGTTTTTGCAGGTGTACACACCTTAAGAGCCATAGCTGTAATTAATGGAGCATATATCCGAATTACTCACATTTAAAACACGGCTGCCCAGTAATATCTTGAACAATAATGCAATTTATACTATACCTAATGAGATTTAATATTGCCTATAAGCGACTATAACACGGTTTAGATCGTACATCACGCGCACCATGTTCTCACAGGTGCCTTCCATTTGTGTATACATTTTATATCTGATTGTTAACTTTAAGATTTCGAAACAATGTTGCGTCCTTTTTAAAATGTTTCTTAATGCACGAGATTTGTATTATTATATGTAGCCAATATATGTTTTGTATGTATGTGTATTATAGTGTGAACAATATCTACATTTATTTTAATAATTAGTAGCACAAAAAGTATTGCATTAGAATATTTCCTGTTTGTTTAACAATTAGCAAGACTCGAGCTACCTATCTTCGGCAAATTGCCAACCAGTACATTACCATGTGTGTAGTTGTGTATGAGATCATACTCTTGCTTGTCTGGTGATCCTTTACAAATTCATCAACTCTGATATAAGACTGAATTATCAGCTATTTCAACAATTGTAACATTCTTCACTATAATTTCCATATTCAATTCAATAATATGCAGGCACTGTCATTTATATCATTATTAACTTAGCCTAGTTTACGTACGCATGTATATGTTGCAATATGTGTATATTTAACAAATACTAGCAAAGAGTTCGATGCAACTTCACCAGCACCTAATCAGATGCTCACAAACAATGCTTTAATTAAAAATTTGTCGCTTTCCTCCGAGAAATTTGAAACAATAGATTAGACCCCCCGATTACTTGATTTTGGTTAATTTGTGTAGCTGCTTCGAAACGGTCGTCCTGTAAATATACTGCGATCATCATTCTGACGACTGTGTCAGCGTTGTGGTCTCGGATTTTGTCGTCTCCGTGGACGGCTGTGAATTGTCGATCGCAGCTTGCGAGTCTGGCACATTCTCAGCACCCTCTGCGGCACTTGGTGGTGGTGGCAGAGGTATAGGATCTTGGATCTTGGTGGCATCCAACGGCTGGGGCGTAGCGGGCTCAGCGACCGCTGCAGGTTCAGCCTGTTCGGCGAGTCTAGGCTCTTCAGTTTCTGTACTGGCTGCCGCGTTCTCTACTGTTCCAGATGCTCTTCTGGCGTTCTCCTCGGCCTTGGCGTCAAGCACGTTGACCGATGCCTGTATGCACCTAAAAAATAGGTTTAAGCCAGTTTAGGATCGGGCTTTAATTATAAAGAGAATACTCGGTGATCTTACTTGATGGCTTCCTTGCGGGCTAGCCGAATGCTATCCTTGCCGTTTGTGTCGATCGTGTCTAGCTTGAGAAGATTTCGTGTAAGCATCTCATCCAGGTACACATATTCCTTGTCGTTGCGCGTGCCCTTGAACTGTTCCACCTTGGCCATCAGATCAAGAACGTCGCGCTGTATATCCTGAATCTTCTTGATTGAGTCTACCGTATGTGGAGTCTGTGGCGGTACACCGACACCAGCGTCCGTCTGCAACTGAGGATCGCCTTGCGGCTGTTGAGTATTAACTGGAGCAGGGCGCTGCTGTTGATGCTGCTGCTGCTGCGGCGCATAGTATGCCTGGGCCGAAGCTTGTGCTTGTGCATGTGCCTGGCCTGCAGCAGCACTCTGATTTGGTATCTCCTTATGCGCATTGATAATGGGCTCGGTGCGACCCTCTACAAAGATGGGTATGGTGCGCACATTGCTACCGCCGGGAGTCTGCGGGGGTGGCGGCGTTTGCTGCTTTTGCTGTGGATGCGCCTGCTGCTGTGGCGGATAATAAGTCTTATGGAATTGCGGCGGCTGCGGCTGACCCGTTCCGAAATTAGGCTGTACTGGTGGACTAGTCTGCGTGCCAAATTGTGGCGGCGGCGTCGGCCGCTGTTGATTTGTTTGTTGTTGTTGGTATTGTTGATTTAGCTGTTGCTGCTCTGGCGGTGGCGCAGAATGGGAGCGCGGCCCTTGTTCCTGTTCGGTGACGCT